CAACAATCCTGCAAGGTAGGTGTTCTTATTATACCCTTTTAACAGATGACCAAACTGAGGCAGGCAGAGAAGTGACCAGTAAGTATCTAGAGCCAGATTTGAACTTGAGTCTTGTTGGCTCTAAGTCCATCGCTCTATCCACTGCACTACCAGGTGCCTTGCAGTCTATTAAAGTCCCCAGATGTTTTTCAGATGAATAGCCTTTCATCTCCCTTCTTGTCCTTTCTAAGTTGATGTTTTAAAGCCAAATGTAAGGCTTGCATTTTTCCTGTAAAATTTCATCTTCATAGGGTCATAGAGCTGGAATGGACCTTAGAGGTGCCCTGATCCAAGGCTCTCGTTTTACAATTGGGAAAACGGAGATGTGGAGAGGTGTGTGACTTTGCCAAGGTCACACAGGTGGGATTTGGCCAAACTGAGATTGGGACCCACTTCCTCCACCTCCAGCTCCAGGTCTCTTTCCATTTGGCCCAGTGCTGTCAGAGTCAATAGCAGCTGGCCACTTGGGGGCAGCTAGGTGGTGTAGTGGATAGAGCACTGACGCTGGAGTCAGGAGGACCTGAGTTCAAATCCAGCCTCAGACACTTGATATTTACTAGCTGTATAACCATAAGCAAGGCACTTACCTCCATTGCCTAGCCCAAAAGCAAAAAAAAAACCCAAAAAAGAAACTGGCCACTAACCAGTAGATGATGAACCCCGTGGGCCACTCATTGACTTAGAAAACCACATATTAACATTATCTATGATTTATTACATTTTCCTTTGTTTTGTTAAGTATGTCCCAATTAGATCTCAATCTGATTCCAGCAGCCCTTAGGAGCATTGTGGGTCACATGGGGCTTTCGGTTGTACATTTGGTTGACATTTCTCCTCCAGCCTGTTCAAATATTTTTGAATCCTGATTTTTTTTTCACCTAGCATATTAGTTACTCCTCTCAGCTTTACGTCATAGGCACATGTGATAAATACGGCAGCTTCACAAGTTATTGATAAAATGTTAACTAGCAGGGCAGCCAGGTGGGACAGTGGATAGAGCACTGGCCCTGGAGTCAGGAGGACCTGAGTTCAAATCTGACCTCAGACACTTGCTAGCTGTGTGACCCTACATAAGTCATTAAACTCTGATTGCCAAGAAAGAAAAAAAAAATAAAGGAATGCTCCCAGAGTCAGTTGACTGAGGAGCACTGTCATCCATTCCTCCCAATATCACCAGAGTTCCAGGATACTAGGAGAGGCAGCAATGGTATAGAAAAATCAGGAATTGGGATTTAGAGCTGGGGGACCTAGGTTCAAATTCTGCCTCATATACAAGTCAATTAATCCTGTTTGCCTCAGTTTCCCCACCTGTAAACTGAAGGGGTTGGATTTGGTAGCCTCAAAGGTCCAGATTCAGCTCTAGATCTAGAATCCTTTGATCTCTAATTACCCTGGGAAACTTTAAGACTGTATTACAGCAGTGATCTAGATTGGTAGAGGGAGTTTTCTCATGTGGAAAATGCCAGTGAAGTTATTGTTGTTGTTCTGTCCTTTCAATGGTATCTGACTCTTCATGACCCCATTTTGGGGTTTTCTTGGCAGAGATACTGGTTTGTCATTTCCTCCCCCAGCTCCTTTGACAGAAGAGGAAACTGAGGCAAACAGGGCCAAGTGACTTCCCCAGGGTCACACAACTAGTAAGTATATGAGGCAGATTTCAACTCAGTAATTTGAGTCTTCCTGACTTCAGGTCCAATGCTCTATACTCCGCTATGCCACCTAGCTACCCAGAGAAATCATAGATCTAGGTTTTGTTTTGTTTTTTCTTTTAAAGAGCATGCTATCATACTAGTACCAGGTACTATTACAGCCTGAGTGGCTCATTAAGTGGAGCATTAAAGGATTCAAGGTCAGGATTGCTCCTCTTCTCCTAAACAGCTGCTTGCTGCCCCCTCCCCCCAGCCAAGAATCTCTACTCGGCACCCTGCTGTGCGTCTCTGCCTTCTTCCTTCTCCAGCTGGGCTTCAGGGATTTGCTGGAGCCAGCTGAAACTGCCTGGCTGTTCAATTTTCGGGGTGAGCATTTACACCTCAGAAGTCAGCAAATACTACAAACTAGGGCTTGATGAATTGTTTTGTTGGCTGTCTAGACTTGAGAAAGTGATGGAGAAAATGTTATCGATGAAGAGAAAAATAGAATATATGTAATATATGCTATTGTATGTAACATATATTGTAATTATATATACTGCATGTTATAAGTATGTGCAGAATATTATAGGTATATAAAGAATATATTATATTATAATTATATAGAGAATATATTATGATATATAATATATGATACATAGAAATATAAACAAATAGAATAACAATGTGTCCTACAAACTTTTTTTTTTCAGAGAACCAGTGGTTAAATATTTACCTGCATACACCAACCCCCTTCCCCATTGATGGGTCTCGAAGGTGTTTCTGGTGTGGTCACAGACAAAATGTCCAAGATGAAAGAGAAAGGAAGAGGGAGGAAGCAGAAGGAGGAATGAGAGAAGGGTCATAAAGAAGGGGAGGAGAGAGGCTAGAGTCTGTCCATCTGTGAATTAATGGCAGAATTTGGATTTGAACTCACATCTTCTGGGCTTTTCTCATTGCTGCTTTCAAGAAGTCTTTAGGAAAATGACTTTTAAGGTCCCAGAAATGTCATGCCATGCAGAGGGTGAAGCAAATAGGGACTTTTCTAGGTCTGCGCAGGGGGTGTTGGAGGGGAGAGCTCAATGTTATCTCTCTAGAGGTTTCCCTATGTTGGTTGGGTTGACCCATGTGCTGGCCTCTGTAATAAAGATTCATCTCCTAAAACTATAGAACATCAGAGCTGGATGGGAGCTTAGAGATCATTTAGTATGATCCTTTCCCTTTACAGAGGATGGGAATGGGGCACAGGGAGTAAAAGTGATGTGTCCAAGGTCACATAGAGATAAGACTTAGATCCAGGTCATTGGACTCTAAAGCCAATGTTCTTGTCACTGTAAGGTCACTTTTTGTGGACAAGTAACTTTGTGTCTCTCTAAGTCTCAGTTTTCCCATCTGTACAATAGGCATAATCATATGTGCAGTGCCAGGGCACTGAACACGTTTGTGTTGTTGTCAGGAAAGCATAAATCCTAAAGCGCTAGGTAGTGAATGAATGATGGGAAAGCATTTATTAAGGGCTTACTGTATGTCACATGCTAAGTACTACGGATGGGAGCTATTTATTTTTATTCCAGGACAGCTTAAGTGACACCTTATCCAAGAAATCTTCCCTTGACACTCTTGCCTATATTGTCCTCTCCAACCTATGAATTCCTATTAAATTTAGTGTGACCACTACACTTGGTGAGATACTCTGTTCAATATTGCTCGATTGTTTCCTAATTCCACTATTAGATTGTAAGCCCCCAAAGGGCAGAGACTATTTTCTCTTTCCTTTTTATCCCTGCCTAGCATGGAACCAAGCACAGAACAGGCCCTTGATAAACACTCTGCTTTATTGCAGATTTTTATTTTGAACTAGACCAGTGATTTCATTGGTGTAGAAAATGCCCAACAAGGAAACTCCTTCTCTGAAGGCAGATAAGCAACTGCTCTATTTGAGAATATAGCCCTGGAGCTAGAAAAGACCTCAGACACCATCAATTCCACCCCCCTCATTTTCCACATGAGGAAACTGAGGTCTAGGGAGATGAAGTAACTCGCCATGGTCACACAGGAAGCATTTGAACCTTGGTCCTCTGACTTCAAACCTAGGACCTTTTTTCCCTCATTGCCTTTCTCTCCTAGAGTGTGGCCTGTTGGCATATTATTGCACCTGTACAACTGAATTACTTTTCTTGCCTGTCTTTTTTTTTTTTTTTTGCCCCTAGAACTCATCAGCTATGAGGGACCTTGTGTCATAGGGTCAAAGATTTGGAGCTGAAAAGAACCTCAGTTCCCTGTGTATTTTTAGAAATGAGATCTTTATCAGAGAAACTTGAAAATATTTTCACCTGTTACTTGCTTTTCTTCTAATTTTAGGTGCATTGCTTTTGTTTATACACAACCTTTTTATTTTTATATAATCAAAACTATCCATTTTACCTCATATGAACCTCTCTATCTCTTATTTGGTCATGACCAAATGTCTTCCCCTGTCCCTAGATCTGACAGGTGGTTTCTTCCATGCTCCACTATAGAGTAGACCTGAGAGATCATCTAGTCCAACCCCCTCTTTTTACAGAGGAGGAAGCTGAGCCCCAGAGAGGACAAAGTTCAATAAACATTTATGAAGTGCCTACTGTGTGCTGGGCACTGTGCTAAGTGCTGAGGATATAAAAGTGGACAAAAGACATTGCCTGTCCTCCAAGAGCTTATAATTTAAAGGGAGGGACAACATGCAAATATATACAAAGCAAATTATACACAAGATAAATGGGAAATAATTAAGAGAAAGAAATCACTAATTAAGAAGGCTTAGGGATTTGCCCAAGGTCACTAAGAATCAGGGCTAGCCTCTGAACCGAGGTCCTCTGACTCCCTGCCTGTGCTCTTTCTTTTGAATGACAAATCATCTCTTCCAGTCTACTCATTTTTCAGAAGAGGGAACCGAGTCTTAGGGAAAGTGAATTAGCAGCAGAGCCAAGACTAGAACTCAGGTCTCTAGCTCCCATACTGTGCTCTATCTATGCTGACTCCCAGAATTGAATCCTCTTGTAGGAAGGCATTCTCTCGGCCTCTGTCTCCCACCTGGTGCCTTGGCTTGGCACCTTCATGGCTCTGAGGTCACTGGAAGTCAGCCTTCAGGGAAGAAAGAGTGTTACTTTTCCTATTAATAAGGGACTGGTCTGGAAGGAGACTGTGTGAGGGGGTACTGGGCTGGGGTGAGGGGTGGGTCCAGTTAAAGTTCACCCCAGGCTATGTTGCAATAGCGGCATCCAAAATGAGAGAGGGTTGCTTTAAGAAAGGCATAACTGTAATCTGAAGCCGGCTGGCTGTTGGACTGGGAGGCTGGGGAAAAAAAAAAAAAAGAAGGCTAATGTACTTTTTAGAACGAACCCCTCACTGTGTGCAGGCTTGGTCTGACCAAAGTTGAGAGCAAGACAAGCAGGATTCCCAGGTAAGAGAGCTCCCACCCTGGCTAGGACAGAGCCAAGGACGCCCTGGGCTCGAGGGCTGATGAGAGGAGCCTGCATGGGCAGGGAGGGGGTTTGTATGATGGGAGGCTCTCCTAAGACATGCAGGAAAGGCTTGGGGGATAGGCTGGGGTAAGGGGACCCTCACGGAAGAGGGGAAGTGTCCAGGGCTTGGACCTTTGCAAGAACGGAACGAATGCTTTCTGGCCATGGCGCTTAGGGGAGAGGGGTTGGAATGTGGGGCCAGAAGGAGAAGGCCTTGGGTTTTGCAGAATTTACACACCCAAACATAAGAGAAGGCTTGGGATGCTTCCCAAGAGAATGGGAGTCTCAGCGGGGGCAAAGAGGTAGGTAGAGGCATGTGGGCATAGAGACGATGCTGATGATGGGAGCTAACATCCACATTGAAGGGCTTTGCAGAGATTAGCTCATCTGGTCTTCGCACTTGGAGCAAATCAAAGGCCTTTCCCACCTCCTTTAGGGGAAGACGGGCTGGGGAAGGGCTCCCACGTGGAGAGCAGCAGGAGAGAAAGCCCTTCCTGGCACCCTAGGGCCTCCCTCCCCCATCCAGCGCTGACAATGTCCAGCTTTCTCTTCTTCCTTTTCAAAATCAGCTGGTGCTGATTTCAAAGACAACTTCCCAGAACTCTGCAAGCAGCATCCAGCTGAACTCTGCCGTGGGGGAATGGGTGGGGGAGGGTGCAGCTGGGGCTCAGGCCCCCGGCCATCCTCAGTCTCCCTTTGCTGCTTCGCTCTACCAGCCAAACGATTTCCAGATGTGCTGGAGCACGATGTCCCAGCGGGGGCACCGGCCTCCTCCAAAGCGCTGCCTCTTGGCCAAGCCTGGGATGTCTGATGTGGGATCTGGTGAGCCAAGGGCCCAGAGACTGCCGCACCCCTTCTGCTCCCCCGGGGGAAGCCGCAGTGAAGATTAGGTTCAGTGCCAAAGAAAATCTACTGGCTTCCCAGAAACCCCTCTGCCTGGCTCTCCCCCGTACTGCTTTAGCTCTCCAGCCAAGGATGGAAGGGAGGGTGGGTCCCTTGCCCAAAGCCATAGCTCCCTCAGGGCAGCACGGTGGGGGAGCACCTACCCTGGTGTGAGGGTGTTTGGCCCCACCCACAGATTGAGCCTGGCCCCTGGGGGAAGATGAGAGAATCAGCCCTGGGGACCCACCCAGAGAGCAGGAGAGGCCCAGGCTGCCTCTTTTGGTCATGTGCCTGGCTTGACCTATTCTGGTACCTTGAGCCTGAAGTGGAAGGAGACTTTGAGAGTGCTGACCAGCTGCCTGGGTTCTCAAAGGTGTGAGGAATGAAGAACTTAATGTCTGGGTCAGAACAGTAACTAGGGTGGGGACAACTGGGGCTTTAACCTGGGGAGCAGAGACTGAGAGGGGAGCTGAGTGCTCTGGACTCATCAGTTTGAGCTTAGCATCTAATTAACAGTTTCTTCCCGACTAGACCGATAACTTCGTTAGTATTGTGATCGTTAATGAGGATCCTCCTTCTACCAGTGTAGAACTGTACCTTTTGTACAATATGTAGTTTTAGAGAGTTTCCTGGGACAGATGGCCAGCATGTATCAGAGGCAGGACCTGAACCCAGCTCTTCCTGCTTTTCCAGGCTGGCTCTTTATCCACTACCCACATTGCCTCTCTAATTAGAAATAAATAGTTAAAATGAGAAGCTATATGTACTACAGAGAAAAGAGTCAGCTGACCTGGGTTCAAATTTTGCCTCAGACACTTATCACTTGTGTGACCTTAGGCTTCAGGACAGCTAGGTGGCACAGTGGATAGAGCTCAAAGCCTAGAGTCAGGAAATCCTTCTGAGTTCAAATCTGGCCTCAGACATTTATTAGCTATGTGACCCTGGGCAAGTCACTTAATCCTATCTGCCTCAGTTTCCTCATCTGTCAAATAAGCTGGAGAAGGCCATGGCAAACCACTCCAGTATCTTTGCCATGAAAACTCCAACTGGGGTTGTGAAGACTTGGACACGACCAAACAATGACCTTGGGCTTCTCTCTGAGAGGCATTTTCTTTCTTTGTAAAATGAGGAAGTTGGATTAGTTGATTTTGAAGGTCCTTCCATGTCTAGCTGCAGGGCCCTGTGATGAGACTAAGGCATATTTGCTCCTGTTGGTGGCAGCAGCTCAGGTTGGCTCCTCCCTGAGCCAACCGCATCCGTGTTCTCCCACTATGAGTCTGAGGTCTCCCGCTTAAGCCCTGGCTTTCATCCTTCAAAAGTGGACCTGGAAGCCTCTTCTACACAGCTTGTCCCAGACATGTTTCCTGATGCTTGCCTGGGGTGCCATAATTAATCTTTGACTCTGTTTTGGATGGGGTATGGTCCAGCAGGGGCTGACCTCTCCCAGGGCCCCTGCGGAGAGGAAGACTCCTTTCCTTGCACAGGCAAGGGGTCAGGCCCTTCCTCTGTTTCAGCCTCCATATGGGGCTCAGGGGTTTGTGGGTCTGGGAGGAGGAGGAAGAGAAGTGTTTTCCGTACAACAGGATTTAATTAGAAACACATGTGCCGGCTCCTACTTGTCTTCCCAGCTTGCCGGGAGGTTCGTTAAATACCAGCTGCCTTGTCTGGGTTTGGAGGATGTGGCTTCAGGGTGGGCCCTTGACCTTGGCTGGGCTGGGCCCGGCCCGATCTCACAAGTGAGCTGGACAACACTGAGGCCTGCTCCCCCCAACCCCATCCCCCCAGGGCTCCCAGATTGCCCGGGTGCCTGGCTCAGCCGTTACCCTTTGGATGGTATGGTGCCATTTTTTACCCACATATGTGCAGAGGGAGATAACCTCCTCTAGGTCTTGCCAAGCTGGGTGACCTTTGTCTGACCGTGAGAAGATGTGTTCTGGTGAGGGAAGAATTCGCCTCAGAACAGCTCCCCATCCCTCCACCACCATATACTCACCAACATCTCTATTTCACAGTCCTTGGGGATGGGGGTTTGAATAGATTTCCTCTATACCTCTTCCTCATCAGCCTCTCCAACATGGAGTGAGGGTTAGAATCAACTAAATTACTTATTTAGGTTCATCTACTCTAAGTTTTTCTCTCATCGTGTGGAAATGATCCTAGATTCTTGCAAACTTGGTGGTCCTCTAGTCCAACATCTTCATTTTACATATGAGGAAACTGAGGCCAAGAAAAGTGAAGTGACCTGCCCAAGGTCACCTAGATAGTTCTACTAGGTTGAAGAAGTTTCAAAATGGTAGATGATGCATTTTTGTCTGAGGATAAGCTTGGCTAAATGCGCAGAAAGCCATCATCCAGATGAATTTCTCAGCTTCAGGGCCCCTCAAAGACTGTCTATTCAGTCACAGGACCAAAGATGTCAGAATTAGAAGTGACCTCAGCAGGCAAGAAGTCTAGCCATCACTTGAACAGGAATCCGTCCTACCACATTAGCCTGACACGTGGCCCTCCAGCCTTTGCTCAGAGACCTCCAGTGACGGGGTGTAATCAATGCTGGGATGGAGAGGGTCTGTGCCGTTGACATCAATGGGAAAACTACAGGATGTGGGATCAAAGGTCATGGGTTTCAATCTTTTACCACCTATGTGACCTTAGGCATGTCTATTCACTTTTCTGGGCCTCAGTTTCCTCATCTGTAAGAGGAGGCATTTGGACTAGGTGAAAACTTCAGTCCTTTCCAGTTCTAGCTCTAATAGACAGATGGATAAATGTCTTGGATGGGTCTAGCCAGGGAGAATACCGCCCTTGGATGCTTTGGGACTGTTTTTCAGCATGGGGGGAATGATTTAGTCCCTTAACTATTCAGCTTTCTTCCTGTCTCAGGCACCAGGTTCCAAGCCTTGTTCCAGGGACAGAGCAGAAGGTCTTCTGCTCTCCTCTTGGTGACGGGGCAGGCTTGGAGTCCCTGAAGCTGCATTTCCCAATACTAAATTGTTCAGTTGGGCGCTTCCCTGGACCACAGCCTCTGTTGGCATGAATTCCCAACTGAGAACTGGCTAGGAGGTCCTGTCAGCCTCTGGGTGGGGTTCCTCCATGGGTGGAGTGGGCAGCCTGGGGAATGTTAGGATTTTTTATCTTGCACAGCGAAAAGCTGCTCTTGAGAGACTTACTCTCGCTAGGTCAGCCTCTCGCTCGTCTTCTTCTGGTCCCCTCTTAAAGAAGGCAAGAGTCTGCACAGAAGCGTAGAGCCCCAGTGCCCAGCATCTGGCAGAAAAGCAGTGGCCTCTTTGGAGGAATGACCCAATCTTAATGGAAAGAAATCTGGAAATCTCTCTCCTGAGCTCCAGTCTTGTGTTACCAAATGCCTGTTAGATGTCTCCATTGGGAGATGAAGCAGTGTGGTGTAATGATTAGAGTGCTGGATGTGGAGGAAAGAAACAAAGGTTTATTAAGACCTACTATGTGCCAGGCACTGTGCTAAATGTTTACAAATATTACCTCATTTGATTCTCACAACCTTGGGAGGTAGGTGCTATTGTGATCTTCATTTTATAGTTGAAGAACCTGCTGTAGACAGAGATTAAGTGACTTGCCTGGGGTCTCAGAGCTAAGCTAGTAAGTATCTGAGGCCAGATTTGAACTTCAGTCTTCCAGACTCCAGGTCCAGCACTCTATCTACTATCACACCCAGCTGCCTCTGCGTCAAGGAGCCCTGGGTTTGAATCTCACTCCAATCACTTACCATCTGTTCAACCCTGGGCAAGCCAGTCATCCTCTCTGGAATTCAGTTTCCTCATCCACAAATGAAAGGGTTTGGACTTTAAGATCTGGAATGTGATCCAATGATCTAAAATTCAACATATCCAAAATACAGCATATCTTTTCCCCAAACCTTACCCCTCTTCTTAACTTCCCTACTTTTTTTTAGAGGATACCATGATCCTTTCAGTCACCCAAGTTCACAACCTCACAGTCATTGTCCATTCTCTCCTCTCCATTCACTGCCCACAGCCCACAGTTGTCATGTCTTGTCTATTCCACTTTTCACATCCATCCCCTTTTCTCCAGGCATGAGACTGCCCTGACTTAGGCCTTCATCATCTCCAGCCTGGACTACTTCACTAATCTCTTAATTGGTTGTTTCCACCACCACTTTCCCTCCTTGGGTGGAGCAGGCAGCTGGAAGCCAAGGAAATCTATCTACCCTCCACATAGCTGCCAAAGTTATACACCTAGGCTCTAAATTATATGAATAATAAATCTCCTGAAGTAGTCACAGTATTTGAATTCACACTGCATATTTCCATTAGGCTGGAACCAATTACCATGTTTTAAACAATTTAAACTTCAAATAATGCAAATTTGAATACATGAGACCATTTCGGGGGATTAATTATTCACATTAATCAGATCCAAGCTATTTTTAAAAAGTAATTATACTTTATTTTAAGATTCATTTTTAAAAAATTTTGAGTTCCCAGTTCTCTCCTTCCCTCCAGCCCCTCCCCCACTCATTGAGAAGTCAAGCAATATGATATCACTTATACATCTGAAGTCATGCAAAACGTATTTCCATACTAGCATATTGCAAAAAAAAAGCAAGAAAAATAAAGTAAGTAAAAAAAGGTATGCTTTAATCTTCACTCAGAGTTCATCACTTCTCTCTTTGGATATAGATAGCATTTTTCTTCATGAGTCCTCTGGAATTGTCTTGTATCATTGTATTGATTAGAGTAGCTAAGTCTTTCACTATTGATCATTGTTACAATACTGCTATTACTATTTACAATGTTCTTCTGGCTCTGCTCACTTCACTTTGCATCAGTTCATACAAGTCTTCCTAGGTTTTTCTGAAACCATTCCCTTTGTCATTTCTTAGAGCACAATAGTATTCCATCACAATCATATACTACGACTTGTTCAACCATCTCCCAATTGATGGGCATCTCTTCAGTTTCCAATTCTTTGTCACCACAAAAATAGCTGCTATAACTATTTTTGTATGTTTAGATCTCCTTCCTTTTTTTTTTTTTTAATCTCTTTGGGATATAGACAGGAGCCTAGTTGTTTTTTTTTTAAAGGCACAGGCGTGATTATGTCACTGTCCTTCTCAAGAAGCTTCAAGTGATTGAATTTGAGCCTGTAGGGTAGGCATTGAAAGTCTTTCTCATTTTGGCTCCAACCTGCCTTTCTAGACTCATTTCTTGTTACTTACCTTCATATGCTCTCCATTCCAGCCAAGTGGACTCATTCCTTGCATAGGGCAATACATTTCCCACCTCCAAGCATTTGCATAAGCTGTTCTCATTCGGAGAATACTTTCTCTCCTCACCATCTTCACTTGGAATATGAATATAAAGTCCTTGTGGAGTGGAAATGTTTTCATTTTGTCTTTTTGTCATTAGCATCATGACATAATGAATGGTCTCTGTGTCAAGAAGACATGGGTTCAGGTCCTGCCTGTGACCTTGCGCCAATTACTTACCCTCACAGTACCCCAGGTATCTCTCTAAGACTATAAGTGACCAAGTTGGTGTTCACCTGCATCATTAAAGGGACCATCTTCACTGGGAATACCTTATAACAATGAAATCATACATCAAGTTCTCCACCCCACCCCCCAAAAAATCCCTGGAACTTAATAAATGCTTATTAAATTGAAAGAGGCAATTTTTTTAAAACAAAATTGTTGTTGAGTACTTAAAAATATAATCAAAGACAAGCATTTCCATATGCATAGAACAGCAAAAGAAAATTACATGCAAAACCACATATCAATTATATACATCTTACATTTGTAAAAGAACATAATAAATTCAAGAGGTAGAGTAGTATCAACACTTTCCTGCCTGTCTGTGTCTTCTGAATCTCCTTCTGTTCTTGTCTGTGAATTAAAAAAAAAATAAATTCTATCAGTGTTAAAAAATGCCACCATGGGGGCAGCTAGGTGGTGCAGTGGATAGAGTACCGGCCCTGAAGTCAGGACCTGAGTTCAAATCCAGCCTCAGAACAAACACTTGACACTCACTAGCTGTGTGTCCCTGGGCAAGTCACTTAACCCCAATTGCCTTAAAAAAAATGATACCATGACCCTATTTTCTTTCTTTTTTCTCTTTCTGTTTTTTGGTCTAGCTATTGATCATTCTTTTTCAATCTGCATTTGCCCACTCCCAATTTTTTTAAACCTCTTGTGAAACATAAGCATAGTTCAGCAAAACAGACCCACACATTGGCCATTTCCCAAAATGTATGTGTATGTGTGTGTGTGTGTGTGTATGCATGTGCGTGTATAAATTTACCCCCTTGAGTCCCCGATTTCACTGTCAAGGGGTTAGTATCGTGTTTTGTCATTGGTCCTCTGATATGTAGTAGCTGGTTATTGCGTTGGTCTAAAACTGGAAAGGACCTAAGAGGCCCACCTAGTCCAACTCCGTCATTTTAACAGATAAAGACATTGAAGTCCAGGGAAGTTAAGAGACTTGACTTTGACTTATATAATGTAATTATGTAATTTAAGAACTCATCTTCTTAAATCTTTCCAGATTATTTTTTTAAGTTGTAGTTATTGTATACATTGTCCTTCTGGTTCTGCTCATTTCACTCTGAATCAGTTCATGGAAGTCTTCCTAGGTTTCTCTGAATCCATTCCTTTTGTTGTTTCTTATGGCACAATAATATTTCATGACCTTCCTCTACCACAGTCAGTTGGGCCATTCCTCAGTTGAGGGGCATCCCACTCTGTTCTTTCACTTCCAGTTCTTTGCAGCAACACTAAGTGCTTTTATAAATAGTTTTGTATATAAGAATGGGTCCTTTCCTTCTTTCTTTGATCTCTTTGGGGGCATTTGAAACAGTCAATGTAACCCTTGTCACTAGCAATCCATATTGTTAAACCTTTATCTGGTATCTTTGGCTTTTTAGCTCAAACCACAAGGTCTAATCCAGGGGTAGGGAACCTGCGGCCTGGAGGCCACATGTAGCCCTCTAGGTCCTCAAGTGCGGCCCTTTGACTGAATCCAAACTTCACAGAACAAATCCCCTATAAAAGGATTTGTTCTGTAAAACTTGGACTCAGTCAAAAAGCCACTTGGGACCTCAAGGCCATAGGTTCCCCACCCCTGTCTTTCCTTTCTTGACCTGCATAGTGCTAAATAGCCTGGAGAAAGTGCCAAGGAGGCAGCAGGACAGGAGCCCTAATAAATCCTGGTAGCTAACATAGGTTTGGAGTAGAAGGAATACGGTGGAAAGAACAATGGCTCCAGGGTCAGAGGTCAGAGGTTCAAATCCTGCCTCTGACATTTACCAGCGGTGTGACCTTAGGTAAGTCTCTTAACTTCCCTGGGCCTCAGTTTCTTCATTTGTGAAATGTTGAATTTGATGGCCTGTGAGGTCCTTTCTAGTCTGTGATCTATGACTCATTTGTCTCTGCTGAGAAAAGAGACCAGGGTGTGGGAACTCAAGAATCCCTGGGTCCAATCTCATGCTCTAACCACTAGGCGACATTGAAGTGGTGTGGAGCCGGAGAACCCGGGTTTGAATCTTTGTCCCACCACAGTAGCCTGTGTTATCTTGGGCAAGTCACTTAACTCTCTTTTTCCTTATCTATAAAATGAAAGTGTTGTACTAGTCCAGTGGTTCTCAAATGTGGTCTGTGTACCCTGGGGGGTAGATGGGTGAAAGTGGGTCCCAGAGACCCTTTTTGGGGGTGGGTAGGTTTAAGACATTTAAATTTCTAATACGGTAAATGTTGATAAAGATAACTCACATAAAGTTCACTGGGGGCCCTCAATAAAATTTAAGACTGTAAAGAGGTCTGTTTGAGAACTATTGGCCTGGACAATCTGTAAGCTTCCTGCTGGTTTCCACTTTATGATTCTGTGATCTGGGTTCAAATCTTGGCTCTGCTACTTCTGATGTGTGTGACCTTAGGTAATCACTGCCCATTTCCCCTTAGGTATAACAAGAGGAGGGCTGTACTAGAATCTCTAAAGTCTCAGTTATAAGTCCCCTCTCAAAGCCAATTCCTTGACAGGAAAACGATTTGCCGATTCCCTCAAGCTAGACTTTAGACAGCCTCAGAGATGATTCTGTCATGTCTCTGTGAACCTGCAGGAGCCAAACAGACAATGAAAGCAGGAACAGAGGACTACGCGAGCCATTACACTGTGGTATACAGGAAGTGGCATGATACAATAATAATAAGAATTTGTTGTTCAGTCATTTCTGACTCTTCATGACCCCACCTGGGGCTTTCTTGGCAAAGACACTGAAGCAGTTTGTCATTTCCTTCTCTAGCTCATTTTACAAATAAGGAAACTGAGGCAAACAGGGTTAAACGACTTGCCCGGGATCACACACTAGTAAGGGTCTGAGGCTGAATTTGAACTCATGTCCTCCTGATTCCAGGGCCATCGCTCTATCCACTATGCTACCAAGCTGCCCCTGGTATGTAATAAGAACTTACATAATAAGAGCTTAATAAAGACTTCCTGATTGACTAATTGATCCAGTCATTCCCAAGTTCTAGTTGCTGTCTGGGGCTGAGACTGTGTCTTAGGCCCGATCCCACACCTCACTCTGCCCTATGGCTGCTGCGAATTCCTGAAGTTGGCACCTCTCCACTTTTCCTTTCCCCTACAGGTAGTATGATGAAGACCCTGATGGCATTCCTGTGGGCTGTAGCCTTCATGGGCTCCAGCAGCTCCCAGAACACAGCAGGGGCTGAGGTGAGTAAAGTATGGGGTATGGATGAGTTCTGGGGTAGGGGAGGGTGAGTAAACCTCAGCAGTCTCAGACCTTGAGGAAAGTCCTGGGACACTGGGAGACCCCGAAAGGGTTTACGTCTTGCTCTTACTGGGTGATTGTGGGTAAATCATTGCACTTCTCCATCTGCAAAGTGGGGATAACGATACCTGTGCTAGCACCCACCTCGGAGTATTTCAGAAATCATAAAGCCCTACGTGAGCGTCCCTTTCCTTTGCCTTCCTCCTCCTTTGTTTTTCTCTGAAAGGACATTGGAAAGCAAAGCTCCTGCTCATGCCAGGGCTGTCCTGCCCACGAGGTGGCCTGAGCTAACCCCTGGCTGCTGCGGACTTGTCCCTGCAAAGAGCGTGGAAGAATCTTTTTATTCTTTTAAAATGCTTTCTATGTGTTCTTTTCTTTGTTTTTTTTTGAACGTCACTCTCTGCCTGATGCTCCTCTCCCTTCCCAAAAGAATGCCCTTTGTAACAAATAAGTAGAACCAAACACATTGACCCATTAGCCATATCTGAAAAACAGATGCTTCGCTCCATACCTAGAGTCCACCACACCTTTGCGAAGAGGCAAGAGAAACGTTTTGTCCCTGAGTCCTTCCTGAATGTCGTGGAGTGGAAAGAACACTGGCTTTGGAAGGGGGACCTGGGTGTGAATTCTGACTCTCTCCTAGTACTTCTATGTCCCTGGACCAGGCTCCTCCCCATCCTGACCTCAGTTTTTTTCCCTTTGTAAAACTGGGGAAGGGGCAGCTAGGTGGCATAGTGGATAGAGTGCCAGCCTTGGAGTCAGGAGGACCTGAGTTTCAAATCTGGTCTTAGACACTTGACACTTACTAGCTGTGTGACCCTGGGCAAGTCACTTAACCCCAATTGCCTCACCAAAAAGCAAAGCAAAGCAAAACAAAACAAAACAAAGCAAAGCAAAACAAAACCAAAAACTGGAGATTTAGATTCAATAGTTTCTAGAGTCCCTAGCTCCTCCAGGTCAGGAACTTTCTCCTTGTTGTATTTGAATTCTAAGCACTTGCCACAGAGCTTGGCTCCTAGTAATCATTCAAACGACTTTTCTTTCCTTTCTCTCTCCCTCCCTCTCTCCTCCCCTCCCTCCTTCTCTCTCTCTCTCTCTCCTCTTTCTCCCTCCTCCCTCCTTCTCTCTCTCTCTCTCTCCTCTTTCTCCCTCCTCCCTCCTCCCTCCTCCCTCCTTCTCTCTCCTCTTTCTCCCTCCTCCCTCCTTCTCTCTCTCTCTCTCCTCTTTCTCCCTCCTCTCTCCCTTCCTCTCTCTCTCTCTCTCTCTCTCTCTCTGTGTCTCTGTCTCTCTCTCCATCTCTCCCTCCTCTCTCTCCCCCTTCTCCCCCCTCCCTCTTTCTGTCTGTCTCTTTCCCTCCTCTTTCTCTCACTCCCTTTCCCCCTTTCCTCTCCTTCTTTCCCTCCCATTTGTATGCAGGACTCTACTCTCCATACCCAAACATGGATACTTTGTGCACCATCTCTCTGTCACACATCTTGAATCTCAGGTTGGCTTCTCTGCAAACACTAACTCCCCCAACTCCTGCACTCTGCCTCCCTAACTACTTTGTAGCTAATTATCTGGTATTTACTTTGTATTCATTCTGCATGCTACTTGTATCTGTGTAGACCCCTCAGTCCCTTCAGGCAGAGACAATTGGCACTCGGGGCCTTGTCTGACCAAACTCTAGTTTAATGTTCACCTGGCTGATTATTTAATAAGTAGGTTCCTCAAAGGGCAGGGTCAGTTTCATTTCATCAGGGCCTAGCACAGTGCTAGGCATATAGTCGGCACTTAATAAATTCTGGCTGATTGATTAATTGCTAATAAGCCTGCTGCCGGGTGGCCTCTCCCCATCCATGTGCTGGTGGTTACTTAAGGAACTTTTTTTTTTTAACATTAGGCTAGATTGACTGTAATTAAAAAGTTAAATCAAAATTACTTCCCCAAACCTAGGAGAAATAGCTTGTGTATTGCCTGAGCTCAGGGATCTTTGTCCCCTTCATTTAATTCTGTAGCTCTTGTGCTTTTCCTAGGAGCCTCTGCCAGGGCCTGATGCCACTGGGGCCACGGCAGTAGAAGAGGAAGACCCCTTCTTCAAAGTCCCCGTGAATAAGTTGGCAGCGGCTGTCTCTAACTTCGGCTATGACCTTTACCGCCAGAAGTCCAGCGAAAGCCCCACGGCCAACGTGCTTCTGTCTCCGCTGAGTGTGGCCACGGCTCTGTCTGCTCTCTCCCTGGGTGAGTTCTCCGAGCATCCTTCTAGGCCAAGGGGTTCCTAACCTGGGTTTCATGAACTTGTTTTATCAATATTTGGAGAACTATTTTCAATATGATCGGTTTCCTTTTATCTTGTGCATTTATGGAACAGAGGCCACAGGCTGCACCAAATTGATAAAGGGGTCCAGGAAAAAAAAAGTTAAAAAAAATAAATTAATAAAATAAAAAGGAGCAGCTAGGTGGTACAGTGGATAGAGCACAGGCCCTGGATTCAGGAGGACCTGAGTTCAAATGTGACCTCAGACACATAACACTTACTAGCTGTGTGACTCTGGGCAAGTCACTTAACCCCATTGCCTAGCCAAAAATAAAAAATAAAATAAAAAGGGGTCCAGGACAGAAAAACAGCAAGGAAATCCTGGTCTAGGACTTGTTCCCTTCGAGTCTAAGAGGAGAGAGGAGTGGAGAGAGTGCTAGATTTGGAATCAAATTCTCCCCCTAATACTTACTGTCTATGTGACCACAGGCAGTCCCCTAGTCTCTGAGTCTCAGTTTCCTCATGTGTAAAATTAGAGCTGGGAATAGATGGCCTCTGAGGTCCCCTCCATTTGTGACCTAGCCCTCAGCTTGCACAGAGGCCAATGTTAGGTTAGACTTTGGTCAGACAATGCCTGGAGTGCCACTGTCTAGGGGTAGGGAGGTAGGCCTGTAGACTTGTATGTAGAGGGGGAGGGCTATGCTGACATAATCCTCTCACTAGGTAGAGGCTATGATCAGCCACTACCTGCAGACTGAGGGATATCTTGGGAAACTGATTGTCCAGGCGACCTGTCCCTCTTCCCTTTGCTCCCCTTGCTTGTGTCCTTACATGCAGGGCCAATGACTTCATTTTCTTATTGAAAGTCTCTGTGGACGGGTACCCCATACCTTTCCTTAGTTACCTATGCTTCATTTCACTGAAATTTTTAAAAAGTCTTCCTTATGTCCAGCTAGAACTTTCCTAGTGTGATATATATCCATTTTGATCCTTTTGACATGGGGAATAATTGCTTAGTATCCCAGCTAGGTGGAACAGTTAGAGTGCATAGGCCTGGGGTCAAGACTCATCTTCTGGAGTTCAAATCTGGCTTCAGACACTTACTAGTTGTGTGACCTTGGACAAGTCACTTAACCCCATTTACCTCATTTTCCCCATTTTGTAAAATGAGCTGAAGAAGGAAATGACAAATCACTCTAGTATCTTTGCCAAGAAAACCCCAAAATGGGGTCATGGAGATTTGGACACCATTGAAAACCAAATAAACAACAAAACCCCTGTCTTGCAACCAAGATCCTTCTCTTCCTCTAGGCTCACTGATTGAACCCCACATCCTTCAATAAAGTGAAAAGACTGGATTTAGAGTCAGAAGCCCTGGGTTCAAATCTTGACTAGGTAGCTTATAAGCCATGTTACCTTGGGCAAGTCACTTAACTTCCCTGGACCTGGGATTTCTCCTCTGTCCAATGAGGGGATTGGATGTGATGATCTGTCCGTAAAGGTCCCTTCCCAATCCAAGTTTCTGATTCCATCATCTGTGATCACCACATGGCAGGTGCTGAGCAGAGGACAGAGTCCACCATTCACCGTGCCCTCTACTATGACCTTATTACTAACCCAGACATACACAGCACTTACAAGGAACTCCTGGCCTCTGTCACGGCTTCTCAGAAGAATCTAAAAAGCGCCTCCCGGATTGTCTTAGAAAAAAGTAAGTCTTTATCCTCAGTGGCAGAAAGAGAATGTTCATTGGTCCTCGGGTCCTGCGTGTGTCCTCTGCGACTGGACCTGGCACTCTGGTCTTACTGGGCATTAAGTAGGGGACAGTGAGCGTGGTTTCTGCTGATGGGGGGCGGGGGAGGGAGGCCTGGGCGGCCTAAAGCACCAGCCACGGTGGGCTCAGCATGGTGAGCTAAGGAGGGTGTTAGATGAAGCTGAGTGTTGAGAGGTGGAGGGAATGGGAAGAAGTGAGAAGGGTCTGTCGCAGGAAAATCCCCTCCAAAAACTCTTTTAGAAATCAATTGATCAACAAGCATTTGTTTATTTTAATAAGTTTTTACTGTTGCCTTTTTTTGCCTATCACTATAGTTTTCCCCTTTGCTCTTCCCTCTCCTTCTCCCAGAGAGTCACACCCTATATAATAAACAGTATTCTTTGAAGAGAAAAAAGTGTATTTAATTGTAGCCTTCTCTAGGGCAGGATGGGGAGGGGAGAGAGGGAGGAAAAAAAAGTGCAAAGCAGAGAACAAAAGAAAACTTAGAAGGAAACACAGAAAAGCAGGGTAGCTTTGAAAATAATGTATAGTATTTAGTACATAGGTTTTCCAAAAAAGTAAACAGTCTGAAATAGAATTCTATGGTTTTATCTGGAGTCTTTGTGTTGTGTCATATACATAGAAATGTTCTCTTTTTTGTCTTTTTAGATTTAGGTTCAAAATGAATAAAAAATTTTTTTAAAAAGAAATAAAAGGACAAAAGAGAAGAGGAAAAAAATCAACATGGCTGGTTTATACTTCAAAAAGTCTGAAAATATGTGCAATGTACTGCTCTTGTAGATTTCCCAGTTCTGCCAAGGGATGGGCTGGAGGTGTCTTCTCATACCACTTCTTTCGAGCCATGCTCGGCCTTTATAATTTTTGATAGACATTTATTAAGTGCCTACTGTGTACCAGGCACCATACTGGATGCTGAGGATGGAAAGTCAGAGCTGTGCATGCTATAAGAAGAGGTTGAGGAAGTGCTCTGGGTAGTCAGGCCAAGCCCACATATGGTGACCCACAGCCTGGACCTGTGGTATGCTAAGGTCAAAGAACTAGACCTTGTTCTCCTACACTAACTATGTCTTTGCTCCCCAGAGCTGCGGATAAAATCTGGGTTTTTCACGCTCCTGGAAAAATCTTATGGGACGAAGCCCCGAATTCTGACAGGCAACAACCGGATCGATCTCCAGGAGATGAACAACTGGGTTCAGGCTCAGACGAAAGGGAAGATCGCCAGGTCTTCGAGGGATCTGCCCAGTGACATTAGCATCCTCCTCTTTTCCGTGGCTCACTTCAAAGGTGAGAACCCAGTGATGCTTGCTGTCAGCCAACAGACGGACCTAGGGCTTAGGGGACCCCATCGGCTGCCTCTGTTTACAGTTGAGGAAACTGAGTACAGAGAAACCAAGGGGCCTGCCCAGTGTTGAAGAGTGACGCTGGAGCAGGCCATTCTCAGCTTAATCAAGGGGAAGTTTTATCACATAAGGTTGGAAGGGAGAGTGTCCAGCATGCAGACGAGGGTTAAGGAGATGCTTCTCCCCAAGTTGGGCAAGGGTTAACAGTCTGGTATTCTTTGAAGATTAAAAAACAAAATGGAGGTCTTAACATAAGATAATAAAATCATAAAAATTTAGGGAATTAATGGGAATATTCAGCAAATAGAGCACCAGGCCTACAATAAGGAAGACCTGAGTTTAAACCCAGCCTCAGACACTTACTAGCTCTGTGACCCTGGGCAAGTCACTTAACCCTGTTTGCCTCAGTTTCCTCATCTGTAAAAGGATCTGAAGAAGAAAATGACAAGCCACTCTAGTAACTTTGACAAGAAAACTCCAAAATAGGGTCACACAGAGACAGACATGACTGAAAAATGACTGAACAATGACAACAAAAAAATTCAAAATGGAGTCTCTAGGGCACAGTATCTGTTGGAAAGTTTCTGAAGTTTTAAAGAAAAAAGGAAAAATATGAATGACTATATAATAAGTTCCATAAGCAAAGTAAACATTTCTATTTGTTCTCGTTAGACACAGCAAGTTTTCCTATGGTCCTTCAGGAAAGTAATATCTATTTTACCCATAACCCTTTGCAGGAAAGCCAAGCTTCCAGGAGCACAGCAGCAAAAGAGCAGACCTAGAATCAGTGGTGTGCTGGAGCCAGCTCAAAGAGGCACAAGAGCTGACTGTTAAATTTTCAGTGTGATCACTTATACCTCAGAAATTGGCAAACACTGCAAGTGGTTCATTGTTTTACTGATGATTAGACTGAAGAAAGTGATAGAGAAAATGTAAATTATGCAGATTAAAATGAAAAGTATGTTGTGAGTCCCCTAAAAAGCTGGTTGTTAAACATTTACCAGCATACTGCTGCCTAGATTCCTGATTCCTCATCAGAGCTGGAGAGGTCATCCAAAGTAGCAAAGTTAGGATTCAAACCCAGGCCCTCCGACTCTAAGTCTGACACTCTTTTCATCACATTATATGCTGCCTCTCCTTGGTACGTGTCCTAGTAGTTGTGGGATCCTGGGCAAAGCACCTCAGTTTCCTCATCTACAAAAGGGGAATAATAATAATACCTGCATGACTTATCCCGCTGGACACGGAGCTGAGCCAAGTCCAAGAAGCTCAAATTGTTGGAGAAATAGAACTTCGCAGTGTGAACAAGGGAGAAACTCTTCATTCACTCCAAAGGCATTTACCAAATGCTTACTGTGTGTCAGGCACTGTACTAGGCGCTAAAGTATCAGGAACAAGAACAACAACAACAAATGAAGTCGTTTCTGCCCTCAAGGAGCTTACAATCTATTGGGAGAAGCATCCACTTCTAAATATGTCAAATGCGTCCAAAACAGAGCGATTTGGTGGGAGGCAGAGGCAATGGGAGGAATTAGGAATCAGGAAAGATCTTTCGGAGGAGATGACACGACCAGAAATTTGAAGGAATTCTAGGATTCTGAGAGACGGAAGTGAGCTGAGTCAGGCATGGAGAATACAAAGACATGGAGGGCAGAGATAAAACTGTTGTGTATAGGGAAGTAGTCAGGAGGCCAGATTGACTGGACTGGAATTTGTGAAGGGGAGCTCAGAAAGGGGAAATGGATGAATAAAAAAAGCATGAAATGCCTACTATGGAAAAGTGGCAAGCCCACTGGGGATATGAAGAGGAAAACAGAATAGTCCCGGCTTTAGAGAACTCACTATTAGACTGTGAGCTCCTTGAGAGAAGGGACTTCTCTCTGCTGGTACCAGGAAGATACTAACCTGTGATTTCAGTCCTGTTTAAGGACTCCCCACTACCAACACAATTCTTTGCAATTTACAGAATTTTTTATTTTTTTAAGACAGAGTTAAGTGACTTGCCCAGGGTCACACAGCTATTAAATGTCTGACGTCACATTTGAACTCAGTCCCTCCTGATTCCAGGGCCGGTGCTCTATCCTGGTGCACCACCTAGCTGCCCCTATGTACCTTACAGTCTTACAGAATTGCCTGGAGCACTGAGTGGTTAGGTGACTTGCCCAGCATTGTCCAGCCAGGATGTGTCAGAAAGGATTTGAACTCAGGTGTCCTTAACTCCTCCACATGCACCCCTTCACACTTTTTTCCTGTGGGTCCTTCCCCCACTGATGGTCCAGCTCTTTATCCACTATGCTAAGTCTTTGGGGCTGCCCCAGGAACAAGCAGCCTCCTACCCACTTATATACATTTCAGAGAGCCAACCAGTGGTAGTGGGCACAGGAAACCCCTTCAGGCACGTCCCCACAGCACTGGGCAGAAGATGCCCTGCATGAGCTAAAGCCTCTGGGTGAGTCTTATTTTTGCAGGTGAGGGTGAGGGTGAGGGGTGAGGAAGCCAGGGCCAGCCCGTGAAGTGGGACAGGATGCCATGTGGCTGGCTACGATGGGCATTCTGGGACGGTTTCCTTCTGCCAGTGAGGAGGAGGGTGGCTTGTTCTGGGAGCCTCTGAAAGCAGCTGGATGGCGCCCTTGTGTCAAGCACCGACTTCCAGAAACGCATATTAGTTCCAGATTCTACAGCAGGGGAGCTGTGAGTGGGAGAAGCAGTTGGAGGATTAGCACTTCAAAGCAGCATGAAATTGGTCCTTAAGGTTATCGCCCTGGCATTCCTTCAGACTAGTTATTTGGCTGAGGGCAAGACGCTTCCCTCCCAACTTGTACCAGAATCTTAATCTCTTTGTTCTAACGCCTTCCCCTTCATTCATTATTTCCTATTTATTCTGTATGTGTTGTGTTCATCCATAGCTATTTGCACGTTGTCTCCCCCATTTGACCTTGAGCTCCTCCAGGGGAGGGACTGTCTTTTGCCTTTCTTTGTATGTCCAGCATTTAATATACTACCTGGCACACAGTAGGTGCTTAATAAATACATATTGACTGACCAACTTCCCCTCCCTGGGCTTCACTTCCCTCCTCTGTAATATCAATAACAAAAACAGTCAATGTAAGCCAACAAGCATTTATTAAGCGCCTACTATGTTCCATGGGCAGCTAGGTGGCACAGTGGATAGAGTACAGATACTAGAGTCGGGAAGTTCAACTTCAGCCTCAGACACTTACTAGTTGTGTGACCCTGGGAAGGTCATGTAACCCTGTTTACCTCAGTTTCCTCATCTGTCAGATGAGCTGGAGAAGGAAATGGCAAACCACTCCCGGATCTCTGCCAAGAAAACCTCAAATGGAGACATGAAGAGCTGGACAGGATTGAAAATGATTCAATAACAAGACTATGATGTTCCAGACAGTATGCTAAGTAGTGGGGTTTCAAAGAGAGGCAAAAGACAGTCCCTGCCTCCAAACAAGGAGACATGGGGCAAACAGCTTTGGGGTAGTCTGAGAGGGAAGGCATTAAGAGGAAAGAGGCCTGAGAAGGGCTTCTAGCAGGAGCTGGGATTTTAGCTTCTATTTGAAGGTAGGGACTGGATCTGTGATTTTATTTATATAGGCAGCTGGTGGTGCAGTGGATAGAGCTCTGGACCTGGGGATGAGAAGACCTGGGTTCAAATCTGGATTCAGACACTAGCTGGGTGACCCCAGGCAAGTCACTTAATTTCTTCTAAGTCTTAGTTTCCTCTTTTTTTTTTTGGCAATTGGGTTTAAGTGACTTGCCGAGGGTCACCCAGCTAGTAAGTGTAGTCTCAGTTTCCTCATCTGTAAATTGGGGATAATAATAGCACACCTCTGGTTATGAAGATAACATATGTAAAGAGCTATATTATTAGCTAGCATAAAGAACTCTAAGGTGAGGAATATCCCTCTTACCAATGCAGTTTGGCAGCTTCTCTGCAATTTCTAGTCTTGGAGAACAGCCCGCAGCACTGAGAGGTTAAATAACTGTGCCCAGCATCACACAGTCAGATATATCAGGGGCAAATGATCTCTAATCTCTTATAGCTCTCAAATTCTATTACAGTAAATAGCAGTATCCTTTCACTAATTTGATAAAAGGGTCTTGCCCCGACCCCCGTTTGCCTTCCTCCCTTTTATTATTATAATGACTCCTGGTAGCCTGATCTTTGATTTCCAGCCTCTGACTCCTCCTGGCTGTGTGGCCCTGGGCAGGTCACATAAGCCCTATGGGCTCCAGGCAAATGTCTAAGACCCTACACTACAGAACAGATGCTGGTCCACAGTGGCTGGAAAATTTCTCCAAGACCTCCCCAGTGCAATAAAATCACTGGTCTAGTTTTAAAAACAAATGAAAACTGAAGGAAGTTCATACTTCTATATGACTGCCAGGTTTACAGTGTTCCACTTACATGACCTCACTCGATCCCCACCCTGTGGGGGAGGGGCTGTTATCCTACTCCTAAACTGAAGCAGAGAGGGTGACTTGTCCAGTGAGTGTCTCAGGCCTACATCCTTCATTCTTCTGGTCCAGAGGTCTATCCACTACCCGACTGCGGGTGTTAGACCCCTTCTAGGTCTAAAACCTTGCTATTTGAAAAGATTGTGTCTGTAGGCTAGTTTTATAAAAGAGTTCTGTGCCCTTCTCCTTCTAAAAAAAAAAAGAGAAACCAAAGTCTTTCCTACTAGTCTCCCCTCCTCCCAGACTGCTACAAAAATGCATTACTTTAGAGGAAGGCAGTGTGGTACAGAGGGAGGGCTTTGGCCTTGGGAGTGGGGGGTGGGGGGAGGCCCTGGGATCACATGCTGTTTCTGATACTTCCTACTCGTCTGACTAGGGGCAAATTGCTTAATCTCTTCTGGCTGTAACTGCCTCATCTTGAAAATGAAGGGATTGAGTTAGATGATCTCTCCACACTGGCCCTTATCTATATAAAAATGTCAAATTAGCTTCTTTCTTTCTAATACTACTTTTAAAAAAAAGTGTTTCTAATGTCTTGTACACCGTGCTTTGGACCCCATACTCTAGGTTACATGATATATCTAGGATTCTGGTTACCATCCTATGCTCATTCTCAAAGGTTTTCTTTAACCTGGATAATTTCCAACCACCTAGTTTTCTTTCTTTCCTTTTTCTGGTGAGGCCATTGGGGTTAAGTGACTTGCCCAGAGTCACACAACTAGTGAGTGTTACGTCTGAGGCTGGATTTGAACTCAGCACCTAGTTTTCTTAAGGCCTACTATGAACTCATTGCTTCGTTTTGTTTGACATTCCTGGTCCCTGCTGTTCTCGCTCTGCTGAAAGACCACTGTCTGATGTCTCCTTCCAGGGCAGTGGGTGACAAAGTTTGACTCCAGAAAGACTTCACTTCAGGATTTCCAGTTGGATGAAGACAGGACCATCAGGGTCCCCATGATGTCAGACCCCAAGGCCACCCTTCGCTACGGCTTCGACTCTGACCTCAACTGCAAGGTCTGGATGGCAGTGGGGTTGGGTTGGGGAGGGGAAGGTCACATAGGGAGCAGTGTGCTGTTATCCCCATTTTACAGATGATATGAATGAGATTCAGAGAGTGGAAGAGACCATCTCATCACCTGAAATGTTAAGAGTTCTTCCACCACAGATTTAGTGCAGGAAGCATTCATTAAGTACCTACTATATGCCTGGCAAGGTGGTAAGCCCTTGAGGACCAAAGAAAGGCAAAAGACAGTCTCCCCTGGAAGACAATATGCAAACACCTATGTACAAACAAAGTATGGACAAGATAAGTTGGAGATGACAGAGGGAAGACTTCAGTGTTACTAGGACAGACAGAGTTGAGGGGCTAGAGAGGGGGAAGAGAAGGTACCGTCATTCCCTCTCATCAGGATCAGCCAACAGAGAGAAAAAGATGGAGCCAAATGGACCTTCTTCTTTTCCCCCCAACCAGAAACACCCTCAGCTCCCAAAGAGAAAGAAATGGAAGGAAGGGGGAGGTCAAGAGAAGGGACACAGGGCAGCCCCACGTCCTGGAGAGGGACCTCAGAGGGCGCTCCATCTGGTTCAACTCCCTTCCTTATCCAGAGAAGCTAGGCGACGAACCCAAAGCTTCGTGGATTGGCCCTGAGCTCTCTGCTCTCCCTGCGATTTCTTTTCCCATGACAGCACACTGCCTTCTGTCCCTTATGGCAGCTCACTAATGCTGTCCTACCTAGATATCAGAAAAGTAGCCTTCAGTAAATTAATTATCCCTAATTCTGATTCAGAGAAATCTGAATGAATGACATTTTATGATGTGTTCCTTGTGTATGTGTTGGAGGTACCAGCCATGTGCAGGTGTGATTCCTTGTAAGTCTCTTCTTTACCCAGGGACCTAGGTCTGGGATTGCTCTGCTCTTTTCCCGAAGTACTTAGCAGAGTGCCCTACTCTGTTTTCAAGTCAATATGCATTTATTAAGTGCCAACTATATGCTGGGCACCAAGCTGGGTTCTGGGGATACCAGACAGTGCTTGCCCTTAAGGAGTTTACTTTGTAACTGGGGAATGCAATGCATACAAGAAAAAAAAAGTTAATACAAGAGATAGATAAAAGTAAATTCAATTCCAGACTGTGGGAGTTGAGACTTGAACTAAACCTTGAAAAGTCCAGGAAAGGAGGAGAGAATGCCAGGCTGGGGGACAGCCTGGGCAAAAGTATAGGGAGGGGTGGGAGATGGAAGGGAATGGATGTGGAGCAACAAGAACACTTGAACTGAATGCTTCAGTGGGGGGTGAATGCTCCGTGAGCATCCTGGAAACACTGGCCACACCAGGTTGGGAAGGGCTTTAAATGCTAAACAGGGGAGTTGGCATTTGACCCTAGAGGCTGGTTGGCCTTGGGGGGAAAGGAGAGACTCAGAATTCAATTTCAGTTCCACCTGTCCGTTGTTGTCTTAGCCGAGAATTCCTTTCAAGCACCCTTGGTTTCAGGCTGTAGTAAGAAAGCAGTTGAATATTTCATTTCCTGTTCCCCTATTGAAAAACAAGAGGTTTGTTTGTGGCAGCAACAGCAGGAGAAAGTAGTTACCAGGAGCCCGTGCAGAAGGACTCGTAGGCTCTTGGCAAGAGAGTAGATTTCAGAGCTAGAAGGGGCCTCAGAGGTTATGGAGTCCTACCTCCTCATCTGACAGAGAGGTAGTAGCCAAGGCCCAGAGAGGATGAGTTACTTGCCTAAGGTCACATAGCAGCAGAACTGGGATTCAAACCCAGGTCCTCTGACTCTCCCTCCAGGTTCGGTCCCCCTGTTGACTGCCTCCAATTTCTCCTGTCTATATCATGTTTGTGCATAGTTGCTTGTGTGTTATCTTTCCCATCAGATTGGGAACTCCTTGAGGGCGGGACCAGTCTTTTGTCTTTCTTTGTATCCCCAGCACTTAACACATTGCCTGGTCTGTAGTAGGTGATTAATAAATATTGATTGATTGCCTGTATCATGCTATCTCCCATGGAGAACTTGGGATAATTGTCTTATTAGGAGTGGGGGTGAGGCTGGTGAGGAAGGGATGAATCCCCCCTCATAAGCTCTACCAGAAGATATGGCGGCTGTGTGTAGGTGGGAGTATGTATATGTGCTCACACATATGTGGATAGGACTCCCATCCCTGTTAACCTAGGAATGCTTCCTTTCTGCCTTCTCAGATAGCCCAGCTGCCCTTGAGTGGGAGCATGTCAATAATTTTCTTCCTGCCCGTGAGAGTGACCCAGAACTTGACCCTGATCGAGGAGAGTCTCACCTCCGAGTTTGTCCATGATATTGACAGGGAGCTAAAGACCATCCAGGCTGTGCTGACCGTGCCCAAGATCAAGCTGACCCATGATGGCGAAATCACCGAAACTGTGAAACAGCTGAGTAAGTGGGCGAGCAGTTGACCCTGCCTCAGGTGGCACGAGCAATGGGGCATAGCAGATTTTAGGGGTGGAGGGACCTTAGACGTCATTTGGTTCAACTCTGGCATTTGACAGAGGAAGAAACCAAGGCCCCCACAGGTTAGGTGACTTGCCCAAGATCACACAAGGTAAGCGAGGGACAGAGACGGATTTGAACCTGTTTCCTCTACAGTGAGCAGAGCACTTTGGCTAAAATGTAGACTGTGTAAACGGATCTATCTATCTGTCTGTCTGTATACATGTACACACGTGTATGAGAGTATATCATGTACCTACACCTACATATACATGGGCATGCCTGTGTGTGTATACCCATTGTAAATGGGCTCAGATGCCAAGCAGGGGCGTCTGTATTTGATCCAGCAGGCGTGAGGGAACTGCGGAGCATTTCCAGAATGCCTGTGGTTTTACAAAGCCCTTCCCTCTGAACAGTGGGTTTTTCTTTAAAGTTTGCAAAGAGCTTTAACATGCATTATCTCACTGGAGACCTCAAAACAACTTAGAGAGGGAGATAGTGGAAGCCTTATCATACCCATTTTACAGAGAAGGAAAGTGAGGTCCAGTGAAGGGGCACAAATATATATATATATATATATATTATCCCCACTGGACACACATGGAAAATGAGACTTCGGGGAGGTTGAGTGGCTTGCCCCGGACTGCCCAACTAGTATCCCAGCTGAGACTTCCACCTCGGTCTTGGGGCCCCAAGTTCAGTGCTTTTTTTCCACAACATCGTGTGCAGGGAGCCGATCATCAGGGATGCGGGATAGAGATGGTTCCCTGATCTGAGCAGCTGCAAGGACTTATGAGGCTGGAGTCCTCACCACCCACTCTCCTGAAGTCCTGGATGACTTAGGCACTACAGGTTGGCACAAAGGGCAAGGCCCCATGCTGCCTGTGCGGGTGGACCTTGTCAGCTCAGCTCACTCACCTCCTTCCACCCCCACCCCCACCCCCACCCCTATGTATCTCCAGTACCTGACACAGTTCTTAGAACATACTCAATGCTAAATGAAGGCCAGCTGACTGTCAGGAGCTGAACCTGCTCATCCTCCTTTGTGTAGTACAAAGGGAACAGATTTGGAGTCAGAGGACCTGTTTGGTTTTTTTTTCTTCCTTCCCCCTCTTTTCTTTCTTTCCTCTGCTTTTTAAGTCACTAACCCTCTCTGAGCCTCAGTGTCTTCATCTGTGAAGGAGGGGTGGGTAACAACAGCACCTGCCTCGTGGGATTGTTGCCAAGCATAAATGAAATAAGGCCTATGACACATTTGGTCAACCTTGAAGTACTTGATAAATGGCCATGATTATTGTTGTATTAGTAGTAGTTTCATGTGATTTGGGCCACGTTTGGCCTTCCCTGGGCCTGTTTCCTCATCTGTAAAGTGAAAGACTTAGACAAGGCAAATTCTCAGGCACGTTCCTGCTCTAAATCTCTGAGCTTCTAATCTCTAAGGTCCCTCGTGGACACCTGAGGTTCAGTCTGGTGCAATAAAAAGGATTCAGATTTGGAATCTGAGCTTTATGGTTGGAAGGTACCTTGAGGTCATCTAGCATACCCCCTCATTTTACAAATGAGAAACTGAGGCCTGGAGGGGCTGACTGGCTGCGCAGGTTTTAGGAGGCAGAGGAAGGTCGCTACCAATCCAGGATCTGCTGCATTGTGTGACGCTCCCTTCTTGCTATCTACGTGACCGTAAGCAAGCCCCTTAATTTTTCTGGGCCGCGGTTTTCTGTAAAAGGAGCAGGGCTGGGGATGACCCCAAGGTCTCTTCAAGCCCTAGGCCAAAGCCTTCCCTGGTATTCTCATGGCAATCTCTCCTCCCTTCAGAGCTGCAGTCTTTGTTTGACGCCCCAGATTTCAGCAAGATCACAGGCAAACCTCTCAAGCTCACTCAGGTGGAACACAGGGCAGCCTTTGAATGGAACGAGGATGGAACAGGAATGGCCCCCAGCCCCCAACCTGCTCGCCTCACCTTCTCTCTGGACTACCACCTAAACAAGCCTTTCATCTTCGTTCTCCGGGACACGGACACTGGGGCCCTTCTCTTCATCGGCAAAATCTTGGACCCCAGGGGCCCCTGAGTGGCCCAGGGCAGAGGATAACCCAGGCCAACTGGTGCATGTGATGTCCGTGGGCTGACCCGCAACTTCCCCACACACGCTCTGCAATAAAGGTGGTCATGTGAGCCTCTGAAAACTGATTGCTTTGCCTCTGTCCTGGGCTGTGGGGTCGATGGTTCCTGCTGGGCTTCTGGCTTTTCAGGCTGGGTCCCAGTAAGCCCTGTATTAGCTAGCAGTTGCTCAATTTCACAATAACCTGGGGATCAGCCTCCCTGCTGCTGGATGGTCTGCAGCCATCTTAAAGGCACCTTGAAATATTTAAAGAGCTGTCACCTGGCAGAAGGGTCACACTTGTTCTCTTTGGCCCTCCGGCCAGACTAGGGGGAAAAAAGGACAGAAGCAGCAAAGAGGAAAATTTAAGCCTGATGCTAACAGAGGAGTTGCCTTGACAGGTGGTGGGTTTCCCCAATCCAATTCAATCCAACAAGCATTTATTAAGTGCCTACTATGTGCAAGGCACTAAATTAGGCACTGGAAATACAAAGGAAAATGAAAAACTGTCCCCTCTTCTCCCTTCCTTACCAGGGAATCTTCAACTAAAGGCTGAGTGACCATTGATGACGAGGGAATGACCAGGGAGGGGAGGGGGAAGGGAGAAGAAAAGAGAAGGGTTTGTCCTAATTGGCCTTCCTTTGAGGTACGGACTGGGCTAAAGTGCTGCTGTCCCTTCTACTTCTGAAATTCTGTGATAAGTATTCACAGGTACTCATGGCACTTTGCAGTTAGGAATCTCTGCATGGTCTTGCCTCTAGCACATACTGGCTGTGTGACCTTGGGCCAGTCTTTGGCCTCTCCACCACTCTTTAAAAAGACAGCTCACCCTGAAGTCAGGAGGACCTCAGTTCAAATCTGGCCTCAAACCAAACACTTGACACTTACTAGCTGTGAGACCCTGGGCAAGTCACTTAACATCAATTGCCTAAAAAGAAAAAAGAGAGAGAGAGAAAAAAAAAGACAGCTCAGCAGCCAGCTGATCTGCACCAGGAGAGTTTCCTCAGTAAGAGCTCTCCACCCCAAAGACATCACAGGCCCAGACTGCACAAACCAACCTTACCTGACCTTTATTCTAATTTTGTATGGGAGAAGGGCTTGAATGTTATTATCCCCATTTTACAGCGAAGAAACAGGTTCCCCAAGATTAAGTGACGTGTCCAAGGCCACATGATCATAACAGCTGCCATTTACATAGCAGCTGTTTCAAAATGCCTTCTATTATTGTCGTTCAGCAGTGTCTGACTCCGTGACCTCATCTGGAGTTTTCCTGGCAAAGATATTGGCATTTTCTTCTTCAGCTCATTTGACAGATGAGAAATGGAGGCAGAGTGTTAAGCGGCTTGCCCAGAGTCACACAGCTAGTAGGTATCCGAGGCTAGATTTGCACACAGGTCTTCCTGACCCCAGGCTCAGCGCTCTATCTACTGTGCCACCTTCCTGCCCCACTTTCTATATACCTTCTCTTACTGGAACTTTCCAGCTACCCTATAAGGTAGGTGCTATCATTATTCCCTTTTCACAGATGGGGCAACTGAGACTTGGAGAGGTGATTTGCCCAGGACTACTTAGGCTAATAAGCATCTAAGGCAGGATTTGAATCCAGTACTTCCTAACTTCATGTTTTGCTTACTATACACTACCCTCTCCTTTGTAGCTAGCACGGAGCAGAGCTGGGACTCCAACTTGGGGTTTTAGAATCTGGGTCCAGGCCATTTTATTATATTATACACAGGATCCCTGAGCTGGACAGCGGCCCAAGGGTCATATGACAGAGCTTCAGCTCCAGTGTAGGATGGTCCCTTCCTCCCCATCTCTATTATCCACCCAGGTGAATCTGTCACACAGTACATTTGCCTGCCTCTGGCTCAGGTCCAGATTCCTTCAGTATTTATTAAACATTGATTACATGCAAACATACACAAAGCTTAGCTAAGATACCACCCCAGACCCCTTATAATCTTTAAGTGAATATTACCACACCAATCAATACCATGCACAATACTGCATGATAATCAGAGCTTGCAAAGAAAGCTCTGTGGTCTTCATGTAGGAGGCAGCGATGGGGTTGGGTTCAGGGACCCTGTGTTGGGGAGGTGGGTTATTAATTAGGTTACTAATAGGGCCAAAGATAACCTCATGGTTTTGTACAAATAGAATGACATCACAGATACAGAGAAGTCAGGAGGAAGAGCACGGCTGGGGAAAGAAGAGCCAGATACATAAGGGGAGAGATTTGTTTCTCTGAAAGAATTCTTCACTTACAAAAGAGATGCCCAAGAGTTTGTTCAAAAGTTGAAAAGCTTGTGAAATCCACATGTAAGACAGGAGTCCATTTCCAAACAGTCTTTCAGGAACACATTTCTACCGTCAAGTAACCAAGAGAGAACTGCCTGTGTTCTCTTTGGGACCCATGGAAGACCAGTCCTGACCAAGGAGGCAGAATTGGCCGAAAGACGGTCCCGAGCATCTCAAATGTGCCTCTGGCACATAACAAACTTGCCACAAGTGGCAGAAGAGCTGGGAACACAGATATTCCGCTTTTCACAAACTCGTCGTACCACTTCCAGGGCCTCTGGCAGGGCTTCTTCCCCTCTGTGGGCCCAGGGCCCCCTGTGGCAGTCTCTGAGGACATCTACAGATCCCTTCCCAGAACAACCTTTATTGCTTCCATTCATTAGGGAAGAAAAAGCTTAATTTCAGTTACAGCTGTGAAAAGAAAGAGGTCATTTTTTTTTTCCATCCAAGTTCCCAGGCTCCCCTGACATCTATCCTCAGACGACCCCTTGGGGTAGTTTGCACCCCAAGGTCAAGAACCCCTGGTCCAAGTATGCTCTTATTCCCCGACAACGGAGCCCCAGGTCTACTTGGCCGTGGCCGAACTGTCCACCTCAAAATGGTGGGTAACTGGCCTTTTCTAGTCACCAATGGCTCTCCCACAAGCAGAATTTTCCAACTCTTGAGTTGTTTACTAGCTTTCTGGGTGGGCTGGGAGTGGCCCCATCCTCATATATGTAGGTGGGGAACCAGTCATCAACCTCACTCTGGGTATTCTGGGTCTGAAACTGCAGTCGACCCTTGTGATTCCTTCCACGCCGGATACTCATACAGTGAGCCTGGGCTTGGGGTGGTCTGCCTTTCTAGGAATGATGGAGGTGCCCTTTTCAATGTTGCTTCCAAGCTGGGAAATTTACAAAAGAGGCACAAGTATGATCAAATCATGACGGCATGTTTTGTTTTGTTAGTTTGTTCAATAGGTAGTTAGGGAGCAGAACAGAAACTCAACAGAACTGGAAAAATGGCTCCAGACAAATTTGGGGGTTGCCAAACAGCCCATCCCCTGAATAAAATGACCCCCAGTGCAATGAGACCCTCTATGTGAAGCCCTAGGTACTTGTTAGAGGGAAGAAACCACAGCAACTCCCTATCTTCTTGTAATAATGGTTTTGCTCTCAATGACACAATCACCAATAGTTAAATCCCCTCTAGGGCATACGCAGCATCATGTGACCACTGGAAACAGCAGGCGGGTTCCACTGAAGCCAACTTTTAACAATTTAGTGGGTTGGACCCTGGCCATGAGTCTAGAGGCTCAGACTCTGATTCCTAGGGAAAGCCTAGCTCCTTTCGAAGGAACAGAGTGTCTCTAGACTTCTGTCTTCAGTCCTTTGAGGGGGTCAGTTTTTAGTTTGGGACATTTTCTTCTTTCACAGAACGGTACTCAGAATGATGGCAACCTTTGAAAGCTCATCTCTCACTGGAGTAATTCTGGAGTCACTGCTCCCCTGCCCCTGCCCCACATCACATACCAGCAGTGGAATTTCCCTGAAGCCATTTATTTTCTTCTTAAAGGTCTGATGCTTTTTAAAAATCTCAGTCACTTCCCACTACTGGACCTACCCCAACTTGTAACAGGTAAGTGCGCCAAAGTACACAAACCAATCTATCGGCTCCTCTAACAATGCACGCCCCGTTCTGTACCTGTGGTTCCCCACCTCTCTGCCAAGGGGAGGGAGGTCCACATGCCTCTCATCCTTGGCAGCTGCTGTCATTCAATGAGGTTTTCTTTTACACTATGGGTCCAGGGGCAAACTGCTCCCTTGGTTTGCTGACTTCGCTTGGCATCCCTCCACAGAAGCCTTCCCAAGCGGCTAGGAATTCCTCCCGGCTGTCATTTCTTACCGTTTACAGTCACATATACAATTCATTCTGCCATTTTCCAGCTGACAGATACCCACTGGCTTTCTGGTTTTTTGGCCACATTTCCCCACTGTTTTAAGGGCCTCATTCTTCACCAGCAGCAGCTCCCCAGCAGTTTGAAGGCACGTTTGTTTACATTTCCTGGAGGTGTAAAGGTGCCCAGGGACTCTCTTGCAATAGACCAGGCTGCCTGTACATCAGCCACGTGCAGGCGCCGTGGGCCCGTCCCTATGCTGTGGGCCCTGTAGGGAGGCCTGGTAACTCCAGTAAGCAGGCTTTCATCTGCTGCAATTCTTGCACCTGCTCACTCTCAGGGCCACAGTGTATGGACAGAACCTCCTCTGCCTTCTCTATCACATTCAAGGCTTCGGTGACTGCAAACCTGGACCAAAAGAGGCAAGCAGAGGTCACCTACTCCATCATGTGCCCGAGCACGGCCTTGCATAACTGGCTCTGGGACAACCATGACCGGTCACCACCTCCACGCAGCTTCTAGTTTGGGGCAGAGGCTGATGCATATGGTCAGGAGTGTGGTAGAGAACTCGGAGGAGGCCAGGCCTGCCTGTGAGGAGCCACACAGAGCCTGGGACATCTACCTTCAGGCATGCTGACCCACAGTTTCTATCTCGGACCCTCTTTTAGGATGAACAAGTCTGCCCAACATCTCACCTCCTGCTTAAGAAATGTTTGTTGACATAAGCGTTGCTATGCCCTTACTCTGTACGCAGCCCATTCAGTGGAATGCTGGCTTCTCCAGCAGACTGTGAGTTCCTCGAGGGCAGGAACAATCTTTGTCTTTTTTTGCATCCTCAGTGTTTAGCAGGCAAACAGTAGGAGCTTCATAAATGCTGCTGACCAACTGCAAACTCAAGCTTTTACTATTCCTCTTTCATGTCGGCAGAAGATGGACTCTGTCCACACTCCCTCCCCACTCACTAAGAAGTTGACGCCCTCCGACGTCCCCGGGTTATGAGCTCCTTCTACCCATGCTGGCTGAAGCCCGTCTCTGAATCAGTCTTAGCTGTCAGAGGCTCAGGGGAATTAGTGACTGAACCGGGTCACACAACAGCCCCTGTCTGAGGCTGGATTTGAATCCAGATCTTCAAGATCTATTGCCTCTCAAAAGCAGCTTAGCAGCCTCCCTTAAAGACTTACCAACACTAACTTTTTTTTGGGGGGGGGGCCTGTTCAGAAATGCTAAAATCAGGGTTTCCCAAAGAAGACAGTGAGAAAAGGAAGCGGAAGGTATAATCAACACCACCTTTAGGAAAAGGGTGAGAAGGTGGGCACAGGGAAGAGGGAGCCAGAAGACACCTGAGGCCAAGGCTGCTGAGAAATGAAAGGAGGGAAGGCGGGGGCTGTTTTCCATTCTGTCTCTGTGTCCCTGGTGCCTTGCACAGAGCAGGCATTTAATAAATGCCCACAGGGTTGGACTGGAGGAAGCAGTAGGTGGGAATGAGCATAATTTGGATCTCAGAGTGCATGGTCATCTCTCTCAGTATGGTCTCAGTATGGCACACAAATGTTCTCCTTATGTCAGAAAGAGAGACACTTCAATTTTCCCCTGAAGAGGAAATAAGAAAGCTACTCAGAATTTCAAAATACCTTAAAGAACTCAGTGAAGCTCCCAGGATGGGGAAAAGGAACAAAGTGAGTCTGGCTAAGGGCATGCCCAGGTGTGTGCTTGGGCAGAGGGCCGGGATGATGCCTGAAGAGCCTTACCCATTGAAAAGGACTTGGGCCAACTTGAACAGCTCATGGCCTATCTCCACACTGGCTGGTCCGTGCTGGGCCTCCACCACCTGAAGACTGTTTCGCAAGTGGGCTGCAGATTTGGGCCAGTCCCCTGTCAGGAAACACAACCTGATTCCAGGAAGAGAAGCACACTCACTCTATTACAGCCACGACTTCTCCGAGGGAGGGTGGGTGAGGGTGAGCTAAAGGGGGAGAAGGTCTGAGTTTCGGGAAGACACTCACTGAGGCTCAATCAGCAGACGGTTAAGCCAAGACAAAACAAAGTGATCCACCCCCTTTTTCTGGGGGAAATGCCCTACCAAGGCTGGCATATGCCTGGGCCAGGTGGTCCTCAATCTCTCCCATCAACATGTGCTCCGAGGTTAAGAAGTTCTCAGCCTCCTCCCGGCACCCCAACAAAAGCTGGACAGCTCGTGCTATCAATGCAAACAAAAATAGGGCAGCAGAAGCTTAGGACCCAGGCTCTCCAGCGGCTGGCTGAGCGAGTGAGAAGTCTCCCACTTCCTCAACCAAGCACCACGCTCCCTATTGGGACCCATCAGCCACATGCAGGGAACATGCCTCTGCTCCCACAGTGCTTTGTGGTTCCATTCCAGAGTCCAGAGTCTGAACTCCACCCCTACAAAGCCTTTCTATGCCATGCCACACAGCAGGGTCTCTAGAACTCAGCCCCTGAAAAAATGCCCATGCCCCACTGCCCTCTGGAAGCATCCAACCCTGTCGGGGACACAATCACACTTCTGGGAAGCTGAGTCAGTGAGGCCTTGGGATCCAAACAAAAGGGAACGACGCATGGGCCCACACATGGCAGAGATAGCTCTTTCGTTACTGGGAGGGATGCCAACTTGGCACATTATCTAGCCCTTCCAAGGGCTTCCAATCGATAAAGGCAGTTCTGGTCTCTGTGGATGACACAGCCACCTTGTGGCTGACATCGGGATAATCCCATTAGACTCAGTAAATATTTACTGAGCCCCTGAACAGCACTGATTTTGCAGGGGGGCAAAGGGGAGGGAAGGGACTCTCACCTGTTTTGTCACCTCTGAGCAGCTCCAGGGCCACCTCTACCCGCTGCTGAAGGTCTTGTAATCGGCCCACTAGGTGAGGTCTGCTCGCCACGGCCGTACAGGATCCACGGCTGCAGCACAGAGCATCATCCCCCTGGGAAAACAGCTTCACTGACCCTTACTTCTGTGCTACTGCAGCAGCCCAATGAGGGAGGGGGGAGAGAAGCTGCTGGCCATTCTACCCAATTCAGCCGGCATTTAGGTACCGGCCTAGGAGGGAGGGACACAAAGATACCAAAGGAAGGTCTCTACTCTCGAGGGGCTTACACTCCACAGGCATCACAGGATGCCTTTGAGGTTCTTGGCCCTGCAGGGGATAGGGAACACCACATCTTCATGCCACACCCAAAGCCTGGCTGAGTTTGGTGAGAGTGCCGCTTCAGCATGAAAGAGGCTGTCTTGGAAGGTGCTTTCTGTGATCTGTTCTTTGATCCACTCCTTCTTTAGGATTAGATTATTTAGTTTCCATTAATTGTTAGTCTCTGCTTCCAAGGCCTTTTGTTGAATATAATTTGTATTGCATTATGGTCTGAAAAGAATATATTTAATATTTCTACTTTTCTACATTTGTTTGTGAGATTTTTTTTTAATGCCTTAATATTAGTCAATTTTTTCGAAGGTGCCACGTACAGCTGAGAAAAAGGTATATTCCTTTCTATTCCCATTCAGTTTTCTCCAGAGCTCTATCATATACAACTTGTCTAAAATTCTCTTCATCTCCTTAAAAGGCTGTCTCGGAAGGGAAAGACCAGATTCTAAGGGACTCTAGCTGGAGATGCTGTGGATTCTTGTTGAGGAAGGAGCTGAATGAGGGAAACCCTGGGGTGGACATGGAGAGAGAGAGCCTGCGTGTGGATTATGTTTTAACCACTTACAACCAACACAGACTTGGGCAGGTTTCTCAACTCCTCTGTGTCTTAGGTTTCCTTGTTTGTAAAATGAGCAAGCTGGATGGGACAGTCTCTGAAGTTCCTTCCAAATCTAAAGCTGCGACTCACAAAGGAGGCCGATGCTCCAAGGTCCCTGGTCCTCCCAGGACTGTCCGAGGTGGACACTGCTGAGAGATGGCCTTTTCAACCTGATTACTGTAGCCCAGAGCAGCTATTCCTTTCAATTGCCACAGGCCCTTTTCTTCTCAGTTCCTAAACTCTGCATGACACTTTCTTGTTTTTCAAAATGGGTAGGAGACAGCCTGAATGTCATGAGAAAGCAATGCCACTTTTAAGTAAGTGGGGTGAATATGGGGTGGGCTTCTGTCTCCATAAGATGATAGGGCTTAGAGACGGAAGGGCCTTCACAGGCCATCCGGCCCAATCCTCTCACGGGTTGGGGATGAAGCAGTAGTAACAGAGCCAGGATTAGAACCCAGGTCCTCTGACTCTAAATCCACTGCCTTTCTCATTGTACTTTACCAATCAGTGCCTTGCTTCACTAAGGCACCTACCAACATGCCCAATGAACCCAAGAGAGGAGAAAACCTTCTGTTGTGCCCTTGGGCAGGGTTGTGGAATGAATGCTAGATCTGGAGGCAGGACAGTCCTGAGTAACTGTCCCACCTCTGACAGCCATTAGCTGTATGACCATGGACAAGCCTCTCTCTGAGCTTCCCTCTCCTCATCTGTGAACAAGCCATGACTGTACCCATGGGACAGCCTCTCATGGTTTGTTATGAGGGTTAATGAGAATGTATGTGAAGGACTCTGTAAACCTTAATGCACTGTGTAGCAGCTATTTATTGTTATTACTAGTGAGAGAATCTGGGTGGGGGTGGGGGTCGCCTTGAAAGCCAGGGAACGCTTGTCTCCGAAGAATTTCAGCCATGGCCTGGGGCAGAGAGCAGTATGATAGGCAGAGACCCAATGAGGAGGGAAGGTACCTGCAGAGCCGCCTTGCAGGTGGGGCAACGGAACCCGCCTCGCTTTGGTGTTGTGCTGGCCCGACGCACCTCCTCATCCCGGCAAGCCTGGCAGCAGCAGTCAAAGAAATACTGAGATCTCAGCTTCTGCTGCCTTGTGGCAACGTCCATGCGGCACTCATGAGGTCCTGCCATGAGACACAACCGAGGGGCATGTGAAAAGGAAAGGCCAGAGCACGCTCGCCCTGGCCCAGCAGAGGGTCCGGGACAACCCTCTCCCTTTGTGAGCCCCCACAGCCAAACACAGGGGGGATGGATGCAGGAGAATACAGGCTCCAGGGTGACTAGAAAGCAGGAACCAAGGGGACATCTGTCCAGACCACCTTCAGAAAAGAAGGCATTTAGTAAGGACCATGCGGGGGATGTGGGTGTGCAGGGTGTAGGGCAGCTGGGTGACAAGGGGGTCAGTGAAGGAGACCTCTCTATTTAGAGCTCGGACCCTTCTTCCTGGATGCATCAGGTTTGCTGTCCTCTTAGAAGTGAAGAAGGGAGAGGGCTTCCTGCAGGCTCCTTCTTCTCAGGAAAAGCGGTAGGGGGGTGGCTCACCATAACAATGGAGGATCTCTTGCCCTTGTGCAATAAGCCGTGATGCCTGGACGGTGCCCACGGAGCCCCTGAAGGCCAGGCTGGTGTTGGGGCTGCATGAGTGGTTCAGCAGGCTGATGACAGGGAAGAAGCCAGTGGCGAGGCGGGCCTGCCTGCGCTCTGTTACAAGGTCCCCTTCAGATTCTGAAAGTGACAGCCACATCAGGACACCAGTTCTAGCCCAGCTACCCATTTCTCAGAAGATGGAGAGAGGAAACTGGGCCTTTAGCCCATCTGACTCATGTCTTTATAAGTGGATTCAGTATAAATAGGAGGGAACATGACTCACAGCATTCTCTTGTCCCTGGGAGGCAAAGGGAATGAACACGTTTAAAGCAAAAGTCCCCTGGAATCTTGGAAGCCTAATCATTCTTTCTCATTATCACGAAGAGGAGCCCAAAGATTAAAATACCTTAAATAATAATCAAAAAGGAATTATCGGCAGGGAAGCTTCCTGCCTGGTGGTATGAGGATATTCATGAGGGTACAGAGACCAGAGCGACCGTCAGGATTATTTCCCAGACATGTTCCAAGTCACTGGAAGGCAAACGCTTTGATTTATCAGACATTTGGCTAGTTAACGTAACAAGTGCCCTAGCCGCTGTTGAAGCACATTTTTCACATGTATGGGTTAAACACATGAAAGGATCCCGAGTCCTTTGCAGAAGCTCAGAGTGATAAGGGACCTCAGAAAGGACCCAGCCCCAGCCCCAAAACCCTTCTAGACCATTACCAATATGGACATCCAGAAGTCAAGGAGCCTGCCATCTCCCAAACTCCCTGTTCTCCTTTCAGACAGTGCTAATTGTTAGGAACGCTTTCCTTCCAAAGGTCCAACTCTGCCTCTAATGTCCACCCACTGCTCCTGGTCCCAGCCCACTTGAGCCAAGGGGAACAAGGTTATTTCTCATGACAGCCCTTCAAATACCTGAAGATCTGAAACAAACTCCTAACTTTCTCCCCTCCAGGCTTACAGTGCTGGTTCTTTCGTTAGGTCCTCATACGCCATGGTTTTGAGTTCCCACACCTTCCTAGCTGACCCCTCCTGGGCTCTCTCTAGCTCACGACGGCATTCAGAGAACAGAACCCAACACTCCAGAGATGGTCTGCCCTGGGCAGAGCACAGCAACACTCCTGTCCCCTCTGACCTAGATACTGCCTCCCTTCACATCAAGCTCAGGTCGTGCTTGCAGTCAATTAAGATCCTGAGATCTTCACACAAGCTGTCGTCTATCCCTGCCTTCCTGTCTAGCCATCCTGTCCCTGGGAAATTGGTTCTTTGAAACCAAGTTGGGGTTTAGGCTGACTCCTATACATTTCATCTAATTAGACCTGGCTTATCATTCTAGTCTGTCACAATGGGGCAGGATCCTGATTCTGTCATTCAACATGTTTGATCGCCTCTCCTACTTCGTGCAGTCTACAATTCTGACAAGCATGCTCTCCACACCTTCATCAGAGATAAAAATGTTGAACAGTAGAAGGCTAAGTATAGATCTGCACAGCACATCCTCGAGACATCTGTCTCCCTCTAAGTGAGCAGCAGCAAGGTGACTGGGTTTACTCATCCAATCCGTTTCAAAAGCTACCAGCTTCCGTGTGTCTGCCCAGCATCCTGCTGGAAAATCAGTTTAACATCGGTTCTCCCTGAAGGAAATCTCAGCCCTCATACTAGTTGAGACGCTTTGATGTTTAAACCACTTCTTTGCTTATCTGAAGGTCACTTTTCTGGCAAAATGGCTATCCAGAACACAGCCAACAAGGACACAGGCCCATGAACTGCCACAACAGATGTCGCAAAACGCTGATCAGGGAGCTCCTGCTCTTTCCTCGCAGGAGAGCCCTTCCCAGAGCTGCACTACATTATTCGGAGGCCGGAATCGAGGTTTGAAATCTGTGTCCCTTATGCTGTCCACGGGAAGATGCTTTTAGTTTTTGCTGAAATCCAGACTACTAGACGTCATAAAATAAAGTCTGTCATGCCACAAAGAACGGAATTTGCTGGCATTAAAAATGTTTATTTACAAAAAGCAATAGTTAAAAGCATCCCTTACATTCTAGGTGACCACCTAATCTTGTCCATCCCTACTCCTGGAACTGTCTTCAGGTCCCCATTCCAAAACTACTCGTATTTTAGACAGGATTCTAACAAGTCTGTCTAAATTGTTTTCCCAGGTCAGTGCACATAAAAGCAGCAAATTAGTGGGAAGGGAACAGTTGCTTAGGCAGGCATGCTGGAACAGCAAGACGTGCCAGCTAAGAGAGGAAAAACGCTAATGGACATAAGAACTTAAAAAGGTCATAGCCGTCTGGGGTCAGACAGAGCAGAGGCAGGCAGATGTTTTCAGCAGTTACTTCATAGTTACGTCTCACTTATCAGAGGTCAGTTAGCAAGTAACCTCAATTATCAGAATCCAGCTGAGGGCCAGGATCATTGGAAGGCAAACAGCCCGGAGGGCACTGCTGTATTACCTGACAGTCCATTAATGGATGTGCATGAAGCTGACCTCCAGTCAGCCAGAGGAGAATGCACGTGGGAAAGATTTCTATCCCCAGTGACTGGTTCTGAATGAAGCCTGTCTCACATAAGTCAGAGAGAGGGCAGGGCCCACAGCTTCCCTCCATGGCCCATTCCCCTAGTGGGGGGGAGTGGAAAGACACAGCTGAGTGTAATTCCTAGAGACTCCAAATAATGCATTTTATTGGAAACGTCCCACTAATTTTGTCCCCTGGGGTGTCGAATAAGCATCAACTTGACTGATGGGAGTTTTGCCTCCTGTCCTCTTCTCTGGAGGTGCTAATGAGCTGAGAAAATGCTCAGAGGCAGGCAGGGCCAGTGCCCTGTCTGGGGGAACAGCCTCTGAAGGATTCCAAGTGGACTAGCCCACTTCTCAGCCAGTGATAGCTGACAATCCACAGGAAAAGTTGCTAAAAATTTTCCCTAAAAAAATCACACTCCAGTCAGAGATATCAGCTTTGCAAATTATTTGTGGATTCTCCCCAACAGGAGTGGGCTCAGGAACAGAAATGAGTGTCAGTTGGGTGTGTCTCTGATTGGGTTCCAAAAAACGTGATTTAGAAATCATCCTGCTTTTGGCTGATTCCCCCCCCCCCGCCTTCCATCAGAGCACAGAAGGGCAGGACATGATGTGCCAACAGTCAGGAGGCCAGGGGGAACTTCCTGGCTGTGACCCACTTGGGTCACACTCTGAGTCACTTCATCTCTCTGTAAAATGGGCATAAGGATATTTACCTACTTGTCTGTGAGGGAAGCATTTTGTAAAGCATAAGAGGCTGCATCAGAGGGGGCTATTGTAGTATGGATGGGAAAAGGTAGAAATGCTTGTGGAAAGCTGATGGAACACAGGAACCACCTCCCTTTAAGAAAGCTACATGAAAATGGGGACTTAATATAAAAAAGAAATTGAGAAAAGAGTGATTTCTTCACTTTTCCAAAGACAGTGGACCCTGTAGAAGCCGAGAGAGCGAGAGAGAGAGAGAGAGAGAGAGAGAGAGAGAGAGAGAGAGAGAGACACACACACACACACACACACACACACACACACACACACACAGAAGAGAGGAAGGAGGAGGAGAAGGAGAAGAGGGGGAGAGAGAGAGGAAGAGGGCAGGGTAGGAGGAGGGAAAGAGGTGGGCAGAGCCATAGCATGTTCAGAGAACTATGATTAAGGAAGAGCTATCTAAGAGTCTAAGAGAAGAGCAGTGGAAAGATGTAGGAGAGATGATTCTCACCTGAGGGGATCAGGAAAGCCTTTAGAGAGATAGGAGGAAGGGGAGGGGAGAGAGAAAACAGATTTTTGTCAAGCAAAGAGGGCCCCCAGGCTGGGCCTAGAGGATAGGCAGGGACAGGGGGTCATTCTAAGCACAGGAAATGGAATAAGCCAAGGCACTGAGATGGGGAACAGGGCAGGAAGAGAACGGAGAAGGTCAGTCCTTGGGTTTGGCTGGAATAAGTAAAGAAGAGCTGGAGATAAAGACCAAAACAAACCCTTGAAGGGCTTTAAATGTCAGGGTCAGGAATTTATACTTTCACCAACAATGGAGAGCCATGGAAAGTTTCTAAAGAAAGAAATGACATTATCAGAGAATATATTTAATTATATAATTTTATTATAGAATTATCAGGGCATAAATCATAATCATGACTATGAGTGTATCATAATCATATAATTATCAGAGAGGGGTCAAGATGGTGATAAGGCTACGTGGGATGTGGGAAGAGACAGGATTCAGAGGGACTGGTTGAGAAGTGATTTCAAGAGTTCAGGAGGTTCAGGTTGTGAGACGGGGCAGATGGGTGGGAGCAATAGTGTGGATGGAGAATCAACAAAACCTGGTAACTTTTGGCTGTGGGAGGTGAGGGAAAGGATGAGTGGGAGGTTTCCTTGGTACTGTGGAATGAATGCTGGCTTTGGAATCAGAAGACCTGGGTTTGAACTCTGGCCCTATTAATTGTTACCTGTCACTTCCCTCTTTTGGGACTCAGTTTTCTCATCTGCAAAATCAGTGGATAGGCCCAGATGGCCTCTGGGATCCCCTCAGGTTCTACCTCTCAGGCAGGTCAGAGAGGCAGCTTGATATGTGGGGTCACATCCTGCCTTGGGCATTTCTATAGCTGTGAGACCAGAGGCGAGTCATGAAGCCTGACTCAGCTTTGTCATCTGTAAAATGGGGCTAATACCACTGGCTACATCTGTCTCCCAGGGTTGTTGGGAAAACTGGATGAGCTGATATTGGCTATGTAGAGGCCTTGACAAACTTGAAAGTGGTACATCAAGTGCTGCTTGTCATCACTGGCATCCTCCCGACAAGCAAGCCCTCTACTGCCTGTAAGAAAAGATTCAATTGGTACAGATAGAGTTATACAGGCCTTAGAAGGCAGACATCGAAGGCAAAAACAGTGCCAAGACACAGTCCTCAAAGTGAGGATTCAAGCTACAGATCGCCTCCTTGGTCATGGGAAGGAAAGGGGAGTGATGGGAACCCTTGGGGAAATCCCATTGAGCTGGGGTGGCTTCTTGGAATCACAAAAGCCTGGAAAGCTTGTAGGAGCCTTCAAGAGAGGTGCCCAAAGACGTGACCTTCCCAAGGTCACTCTGCTGGTTGGCGGCAGCAAAGCCAGAGGGCCGTAGAGACCCTCGCTCTCAGCCTACCGCCTCCTGACACACGACGGAAGACACAGCGGGCTTAGCTTCGCCCCAAGCAAAGGGACTGGCTCTGCCCCTGAGACGACAACACTGCTTCAGAAATGTCACGGGCAGGACTTTTGCAAGTAGAACAACAAATGCCTGTGAGGTTCTTTGTCTAAGTCTCTCTCTTATTTAACACTTTAATCCTCCTCCTGCGTTCCTAATGACACAGCTGCTAATGAAATTCAATGAGAACCCTAAACCGGGAGGTGTTGGAGTGCCAGCGAAATAATAAAAAGGGATAAAACCAAGATTAGAAATATGGGCAGATTAAAACCAAATTAGATTTAATTAGAAAATGCAAGTGAATATACCCAAGGAAAAAAACCCCCCAAACCTCTGAAAGTCTACTGGGTGGATGCTGCTTAGAAAGCCGGGATGGCCCAGGAAGGCAAGAAAGGACTGAGAAGAGACAACGGGAGGCCAGGTGGGGGTGGGGTGGGGGCAGCCCAGGATGGAAAAGCCAAAGCTACTGAGCGCCTTAGTTCTGGATGCTTGTCTGGCTGGGAGGTGAGGTGCAGCCTCTGGTGCACCACCAAAGCCCATTCTGCCAGGTTAAAACCATTTTACAGATGAGGAAACTGAGGCTGACAGAGGCAGACCAACTTGCTTATGGTCACATATCTAGGCACATTTGAACCCAGATCTTAGTGTTCTACCTGCTAAACCATGTCAGCTCTACTCTAATTCTGGCAAAAAGTTTACTTCCCCTGGACACCAGCAAAGGAGACATCATTTACCTTCTAACAGTGCAGTATTGCTGCATTACTTTGCAGACCCCTCTGATCCCTTTCAAAGGATTTTTACAATGTCTCTAATTTCCTTTAAGACCCGGATCAAGTGGGCAGCTACGTGGCGCAGTGGATAGAGCACCAGCCCTGAATTCAGGAGGACCTGAGTTCAAATCTGGACTCAGACACATAACACTTACCTAGCTGTGTGACCCCGGGCAAGTCACTTAACCCCATAGCCCAGCCAAAAAAAAAAAAAAAAACCAGGATCAGGCGGCAGCCTGAAGCCCTTCTCGAGCTCCACCCAACCTGAGTTGCTATTTGTAGGACTGATATGCACATGGTACTAGCTAGGCTGGATCCAGTGCAGAGCAGAAGCTCTCAGAGGGCAGGGCTACTTCACTACTCTGGATGCCCAGGACTCAGCACACTGTATATGCTTAAGCAATTCTTGGTGATTGACGGATAGCCCATGTAAGCCTCACAAACACCCTGGGAGGCAGGTGGGAAGGAAAGACATTCTTTTCTCACTTTTATAGAAGGTAGAAAGGCCCTCTGCTAAGGTCAGAGTCAGTAGAAGGAAAAAGGTCTAGAGCTGCTAGATGCTAAATGCTCCTTCCGTCCTCCTCCCCTCCCATCTATCTTTCTTCCTTTCTCTCTTTTTCCCTTCCTCCCGCCCTCCCTCCCTCTCTCCCTCCTTTTCTTCCTTCTTCCCATTTTTCCTTCCTTTCCTTCTCTCTCCCTTCTTTCCACTTTCCTTCCCTTCCTTCCTCTCCCTCCTTCCCTTTCTTTCCTCCCTTCCTTTCTCTCTCCTTCCCTCCTCCCTTCCTCACTTCCTTCCCTTCTTCTCTTCCTTCCTTCCTTGAACTGAGCTCTTCCAGAATGCTTGGCTAACTCTTTCTGGGATGCTCCTTTAAGCTGACTTTCTTGTCACTCACTGCATTATAGATAAAGACCAAGATGGAAAAAAAAAGCCCTCTGGAATGTCCTGTTTATACCCACTTACCGGCCTCCTGGAGGGCAGTCACTCCCTGGGCATTACAGTGCAGCTGCAGCACGTGCCTCAGCATGGCCACCGCCCAGGTGCTGGGCCGGGGTGACTGCTCCATTGTCAAGGCTGCCTCCTGCTTGGAGGGCCCCTGACCCCACAGTGGGGAAGGCCAATAGGCTTCTCCCAGCTTCTTGCACAAGGCCACGACGCTCAGGCCACAGAGAAACTTGCGCTCTGGGCTGTGCCTTTCTGTGTGGGGCAAGAGGTGGAAGACGGCGTGGTAAGAACTTTGATAACTGCCATCCCTGTCACAGCCGGGAATTGGCATCCCAGACAGCCCCCGATTCTGGTCCCCTTTCCCCAGGCCGAGCTGGGCATCCAGTTTCTCCATCGGAGGCTGGCCTTCGGGTACAGAAACCGCTTCAGAATTCACAGCTCCCTGAAGTGTCTTTACGAGTTTGTCAACGAGCTCAAAGCCAGCTAGGAGGACTGTCCTTAGTGCCACGTGGCAAAAGACTCCCAGGGTGAGAAGCGTCCCGCCCAGGGAACACTCTGTCCTGTGATAGCGCTCCCAGGCCAGCTGCATACACTGCCGGCTGCAGTACTTGGCGTAGCTGCATCCCTGGCAGGGAACTGTGGCCATGGTGGGTTTCAAACAGCGGTGACAGCGGAGGTCCCCAGGGGCAGCTCCGCTGTCTCGCCCGGCTTCTGGGCCCAGCCGCTGCCACAGAGTCTCTCCAGGATTGAGGACGCTCACAAAAGCCTCCTCTTTCACTAGGAGCTCACCAGGAAGGATATCCTCAGTGGCGATCAGATGGCGGCCTCTGGAAGGGTCGCTGCACAAACTCACAGAGGATGCTGCGCCGGGAATCCGCTCGTTCTCGGCCTTCAGATGGACCTCCTTTGAGGCGGGTGCTGGACCCGTGGGATGAGCCTCCGCAGGGCCCTTGTCCTCCTGCCCCCTTGTTTTCAGATGGCGGAGCCTCCTCTGCAGGTCCTGGAGATGGGGAGTGCCGGTGCCAGCCTCCCGAGCTGCCACGTTCTGCTCCAGGTCACGGATGGCCAGGGCTGCCTCCTGTCGCCTGCCCAGGGCCACGAGGCACTTGGCCTTGCGCAGCATCAGCTTGGGCTGTAATCTTTCTGGGTACCCGTGCATTTGGGCTCTCCCAATGTCTTCAAGACAAATCTAAAATTAGAGAGGAAATGGGAATATGACTCCTGCTCTCTGGGGGGCCTCCTGCACCTCTACAAATGCTTTGGTTCTCCCTGCATTACAGAACCTGCCAGGACGATATAATGTGACCTTTGGATAAACATACATCACACGAGGGGTCCGTCTTACAGCAAACAAACGGTCCTTGCAACAAGTGTGGAGAAGCCCTGCTTAAGAAGCTGCATGGGCGTCCTGTCACCTCAAGAACAAATACCAAACTCCTCTGCTGGGCACAGTCCGGCTCCAGCCCCTCTCTCCAGGAGGATTACTCGATTCCCCCTTGGGCGCTGGCTGTTCTAGCCAGTACTGTTCCCTGTACAGGACACTCTGAATCTGGCTCCCTCGCAGGCCCAGGAAGCTCTCTGTCCTCATGTCTGAGAATCCCTCCTCCCTCCCGGTGGCCCAAGGTCCACCACCCCTCAGAGGCCTTCCCTGCCTCTTCCACCCTCCCCCTGCCCTGCCCTTGTTAGCCTGCTCTGCCCCACCAGGACTGATCTGTGTTGGGTTTGAATATACCCTCTGTTTACTGATCTATGAACAGGCTGTATCCTTCCAGTAGAACATAAGCTCCCTGAGAGCAGGGACAATTTCATTTTTGTGACTCTAGTATAGGATGAGGGTGGGGAATGGTAGGTGTTTAGTAAATGATTGTTGATTGATTCTCTCAACCACAAGAGTTAATTTCTGCCCAAAGCAGATTTAAAAAAAAAAATGAAACCCATGTGTGACAATCCTGTATGAGCTTATTTTTTATTTCTTAAAGTTGCTTGCTTCCCCTCTAAGCCTGGCTGCTCCCCCACTGAACCCACATTTGTAACAAAGAAAGACAGCTAAGCAGAGCTAACCTACAAAATAGCTGTCACAACCTACTACATCCGCCTGTCTTTCCAAATTGCCCATTCTGTTGGCTTTAGGAGAAGCTCCAATCACCTCCAAAAGTACATTGGCAAAACTTTGGAGAAATTATCTGTTACAGGGAAGGGAGCTCCCCTGAACTGCCATTCAGGTTGGACAACCTCTTGGCCACTTCGAGTGAATGTCCAGAACCCATCAGGTCAAAAAGACTCAAGGTATCTACATAACCCTGGACCCCCTATAACGAGGCCCCCAGTACCTGCCAAGCAGGTTCCTATAGCCAAGACTATGACAGAGGGTTGCTAACATCAAGGCTACTCCATCCTCCAGGGCCTGGCTCTGAGTGCCCAGACCAGCCATGTGCCGAGGGCAGCTCCTGTACAGCCCAGCTGGAAGCTATATGGGGCTGCCAGATTATTAGAACTGCAGCAAATACAGAGGACTAGAGATTTAAAGTTGGAAGGGAGATGGGCGGTCATCTGAAGGTCCTCAATCAACTGAGGCCCAGAGAGGTGAGGTCAGTTGGCTGGGGGCCACACCCCTCAATCCAGGGACACTGGCCTCTTGGTTGTTCCATGAAGAGGACCCTCCATCTCTTAGCTCTGGGCATTGTTTCTGGCTGTCTCCCATGCCTGTAATGCTCTTCCTTTTCTGCTCCAACTACTGACCTCTCTGGATTCCTTTAAGTTCCAACTAAAATCCTACCTCCTACAGGAAGCCTTCCCCAATTCCTTTTAATTCCAGTGCCCTCCCTCTGTTCATTATTTCCTATTTATCCTGAATAGAGATTGCTTTGTACAGCTTTTTGTATACTGTTTTCGTGTTGTCTTCCCCATTAGACTGTAAGTTCCTTGAGGGCAGGGACTATCTTTTGCCTCTTTTTATATCCCTAATGCTAAGCACAGTGCCTGGCATGTAGTAGGCTCTTAATTAATGTTTGTTGATTGATTGATTGATTGCTTCGAAGCAACGTCTTCCTGACCCGAGTCCCACACTCTATCCACGGCATCATGCCTTAGCAGATGCCTCAGAGAAGGCTCGGGATGCACCAGAGGCTTCTCATGTCATGCTAAAGGTCTCCAGGAGCTCGCCCCCTCACATGATGCTTTCCTCCTAGTGATCCCTTCTGGGAGGTAGGCCAGGTGTCAACAATCCCATTTACATGGGGTGACAGGGAGGCAGAGGTGATCTGACTCGCCCACAGTGCCCCACCATTGCTGCAGGCAGTATCTGCATCACGGTCTCCCACATTCAAATCCAGTGGCCCCCTCCCTCCAGGCCCCCACTACACTGTGCTGCTGCTCAGATACCAGAAGCCATGTTTGATTTTGTCTAGGCCTGGTCCCATGGGAACCCAAGACTAAAAGAGAGCTGCTTCCCTTTGATGGGAAATCCTTGTTTGATGAAGGAGTTGAGGAAATCTCAGACAAAGAAAGGCAGAAAGATCAGCGCCACTGAAGCTACAACCAAATCTCCAGAGTCTCACAAAGGTTCCACCTACTTCTCTTCTTTCCAGGCCAGGAAGGGTGGTGGGCAGAGCCGGGGCTGTGGGCTCTGAAAGCAGAGCTCCCATGGCCCCAGCCAAATGGAGCACCACGCACCCACGCAAGGAGGTCAGAAGAACACCCTCCCTGTCCTGCCCACAGAAGGTAACGCAGAGGGACCAGTCACCCTCCAAGAAGAATCCTGCAGCAGACTCTCTGTCCCCTTCCAAGTCTTCCCGCACGACTTGGGTTCCACAGCAGCCCCTCTTCCCAAAACCCCAGAGGCCACATGACAGATGCCTTCTTGCTGAAAACCGCAGGCTGCTCAGGATGAACCCTCCTGGAGAGAGACTCGGGGGGGCCCCCATTCCTTCAGGGGCTTTCCTGGCACTCTTGTCCTTGGAGAGCAGAGTTTACTGAAGCTCTTTTTGACTCCAGGGTGATAAAAGCCCTTCTCTGCCAACCACAGTAGGCATCTTGGTACTCACCTCATACTGAGCCTGATAGAAGAAGGCTGCAGAGCGATTGGCAAAACACAACGACATTTCCTGAGTGTTGGGTCTGGCATGGGAGGTTCCCTGCAGGAGTGATAAGGAGATGCCAGTGAACGGAAGGAACTTTATCAGGGGATCAAGACTGGAGTTCCAGGCCCACTACTACTTGTCAATGTGTACACCTGGGCAAAATCATTCTGAGGTGGGGATAACAACAGCAGCCCTGCCTAGTTGAAGAGCCTTGCTGTGGGATCCACCGATGTAAGAGGGTACAAGCACAGCTTTAGAGTGTAAGCCCCTTGAGGGCAGGGGATGTTTTTGCTTTTTCTTTGCATCTGCAGCACTTAGCACCGTGTCGGCATTTAGGAAGTGATCAATAAATGCTTGTGGAGTGACGGAAAATCAAAGCAGCGTAAACACATGCAAGGTACCAACACCATGATCAGCTCACTAGCTTTTGGAAGGTTGGGAAGGCTGTTTATGTCTCCATTTAATGTTTCCTTTTATTTTGTCTCCCTTTGTACATACATGTCACATATTTAGGCAGCATATTTATAAAGCGAAAGGGAGAGCGGACAGATAGCCAGACTAGGAGGCAGGAGAGACCTGGGTTTGACTCTTGACTCTGCCGTGTGACCATGGGTAAGTCACTTACATTTTCTAAGCCCATTTTCTCATCTGTAAAATGGGGGTAAATGACACTATAGTATCAATCTCATAGCACTGTTGGGAAGGATGACAAAATCGTGAAGTACTTTGGGAAGCTTCAAATGCTATGTTAACATCTGCCATTATTAGTGGGCCGACCCCTTGAAGCCGGTCATCCTCCCCGGCGCCCGTGGAATCGGGTTCGTTTCAATTCATGGTGATGTCTCCACATACGTGCCCAGTGACTGGCCAGGAAGCAGACTCTCAGCATTAGAGATTGCACCACCAGGGAGCCTGGCCCATTCAGGATTCACTTCTGGGTCTCTTTACCTCCATACAGAAACAGACAAGAGGACCCTCAAGGTAAGTCCCACAAAAACAGCACATGTGGTCTGAATCCAGATCAAAGCATATTTTTGTTACTTTCTTTATTTTTCTAGAGGGTTTTTTTGGTTTATGTTTTCTTTTACAACATGACTAATATGGTAATGTTTTGTATGACTGCACATGTATAACCTATATCGAATCGCTTGCTTTCTTAATGAGGGGGGTTGGGAGAGAGGAAGGCAGAGAATTTGAAATTCAAAGTTTTAAAAATGAACATTAAAAATTGTTTTTACACATAATTGGGGAAAAATAAATTATCAAATTAAAAAAAAAAGACCCCAACACATATGCACCCCTTGAAGAAACAGTGGGCAAGAGGGCTAGTCATCAAAAACTGTGAGGTTGGTATGGTTCCATGGAGGGCCCATCTGCTGGGGCAGTAGTGAAAATAATGCTCTGAGCAAGCAGGAAGATCTGTCAGTACAAACAGCCAATCAGAATCCCCGGCTCTTAGAGGGGCCATGGGAGCCACTCCCAAAAGAAGCTGTGTAGCTATGACAGACATGGGTGGCTTAAAGCAAAGTCAGCAGGCCTGCAGCTCAGTCAGGACGGAGACAGGGACAGTCAGCCCCTCTCCACAATTCTGGTGCACCGTCCTTCCCTGCTGCTAAAGGGACGGGGAGAGAGCTTCTCAGGGTGCTGTTCACTTTGGCGCATGGAGGGCTTCCACTTTCTGGTCCACATCTCAAGCTTACACTCTATCCACTAACTCCAAAGCCAGAAGATCCTCTTACAATCTGGAATCTCCTAGACCTTATACTCTTCCCTCACTTAGACAGGAGGTGAGGTGTGTTTCTCTTGTCTTGGGAGTCCTGGTAGGGTACACTGGCCAGAGGCAAGAGGCACGGAAGGTGAGGCACATTTTCCAGGGCCAGGATGTCCGAGTGGATCTGATCATTAGCCACTCAGGAAACATTGTGGGTCCTAGCTGTCTAGAGCACCGCATAGCTGTCTATGTTCCATCTGTTCACTCAGAGGACCTGTGCAGGACCAGCAAACTGGAATTTTTCACCAGTCAGTCCTTTTATAAGCTCCATGGGCATCCAGCATCTCTGTGTTGAAGCATGGAGGTGACCCTGGAGTCTCAACGGCTTTGCCAGTGAAGGGCAAGCTCCGGCAGGGGCCCAGGGACATCTGCTGTTTGAGCACCAGCCTCGCTAAGCTCAGAGCAGCTCCTCGCCAGGTGGGCCAGGGTGAGAAGGTTTCCTGCCATGGCAACTCCAAAGGCCATCAACTAAGTCATACGGGTTTCAATCTGTGCTCGTACCCCCAGGGCATGGAAGAGCACTGAAGGGCTAAAGTAAGTCCTCCATATAAAAATGGCCTATGATCCCCTGGGGCTGACAGACACGGACAGACAAGGCTTGGTGGGAGGCCCACACGGCCTGTAGCTGGGACCACGTACTCCAGCTAGATGTTTAAGAACACAGGGGCTTCTTAATGGAATGTAGGGCCCACAGTACAAGGTTCCCTTTGTTTCCTAAACATGGCCCAGGACAGTTCTGCCAAGGGTCCTCTCTTCCACCCAAACCTCTAATCACAGACCAAGTGTAAGAGACAACATTCACTGGTGCAGCTGTATGCCTGCAGAAGGCAGAGCTGTCCATCACATGTCTGTGGCACCTCCTGCTGGACCTGCCCTGCCCTGCCCCTCACCTGTGAGTACAGCATGGCAGCCGCCTTGTACGCCTTTTTCTGGAATGCCTTGTTCCCCTCTTCTTTATAAAAAAGGTAAGCGTTTGGATCCTTCTCCACTGAGTAACCTTCAGCCAGTCTTTGTAAAAAAGCCTCGTCTTCAGGTCTGCAAAAAGGAGAGAAGGCTCACATGGCTACAGGCCAGCACAAACCTTTGTTTGTAGGAGACCTGGTCCTGGGGAGGGGGCACTGGATAGGGAGCAAAGGGGCCCGGGAGGGCCGTGGTGGGGCTCTATGGTTTCCTGCCCATGGGACCAGGGTGAGTGCCTCCACTTACCGCTCTGGGCCTCGGCTTCTTCATCTGTGAAACAAGGGAGGTGGACAAGACGGCCTCTCAGGGCTTTCAGGGTCTAAATCTAAGACCCTCTAGCTCTATGAACACTCATCACTCACAGATGCAATGGCAGAAAGTGACGACATCAGTCTGCTTCCCATAAATGCCCAGCTGTGAGAACATCTGGACACGAGAGATCTGAGGTGGGAAAGAGCGTCTGTGGCAGCACACGATGCCGGAGGGGCTGCAGAAGCCTGCTGGCCAGGCGGTGCACCGACCTCTTCAGAAGCCAATGAACGCTCAGCAGTCCACTGGCCAGCCAGGGCACCGAGCAGAGAGAAAGAAAACACACGACATCCCTCACTCAGGGAATGTTTCCTGCCGGGGCCATGCAGCAGGGCCCCGGGAAGGAATGGCTCAACAGGAACCAATCAGCCACATGCTGATGAAGTGCGTACTGTGTGCCAGACACTGCACCAATGGATGGGAACACAGAGGAAGGCAAGAACCATGCCTGCCTTCGAGCGCTTGCATTCGAATGTGTGAGACAACGGGTCAATAATGAGGCCCACTCCACATACACATGGAGCAGACGGATGGTAGCCTTGGCGAGGACAGCTCTAGAACCTGTGTGGACCAGGAAAGGCTTCTGCAGACGGGGCAGCTGGATCGAGTTTTGAAGGTTAGTAAATGCTGGATTTAGAGTGTGTGGGCGACACAAAAGTGTAAGAAGACTAGGAGGGCAGGAAGGGGCCAGGATGTAAAGAGCTTTCAATCTGCTTAGCCAAAGGACTTTGTATTTGAACCTAGAAGCAAGAGGGAGCCACTAGTTTACAAGTGGGGAGGGGCATGGTCAGAGCTCACCCTGGCAGCTGTGTGGAGGGGAGACAGAAGGCTAGTGCAATAAGTCAGGCCAGAAGTGACGAGGCCCTGGGTTAGGTTGTGACGTGGGCGTGGAGGGGAGGCATGAAACATACAGGAGAGATTACGTCTCTGCTGACACATGGGAATGGAAGCAAGCAGAGGAGCTGAATCTCTGCAGTGACTAGAGAAATACAGAGAAGAGTTAGAACGTGTCCAGGCGGCCTCTAGGTAGCATCCTCTCCTTTGGACTGGTCACCTTCTAACCCATCCAGGGTCGTCATGTGGAGGCCGGATGACCGCTTATCAAGGACGGTAGAGGAGGGACAGTAAGGGCTCTTACAACCCCGAGATCGTCTGAAGTCGGGATGTGGTAACGCCAAGGAGAGGTCAAGCAGGGAAGCTGGAAAGCCGAGGGAGGGAAGACATACTTCTAGCGGACTGGGTCACACTGAGGGCTTCCTTCCACTACGATCATTATTCCTTTCAATCAGCATTTATTAAGCCCCTGCTATGTGTCAGGCACTGGGCAAACAAAGACAGAAACTGAAAGGGTCTTCTGCGGGGTAGGGCAGAAGAACAATATCTACACAGAAAAGCTGCTATTAAACCAATACAAAGCGATTTCTGAGAGCCCCCCAGCTGAGGGGATGAGGAAAGGCCTGTGGCAGAAGGGAGCACCTGAAGTCAATCTATGATGCAGAGGGAAGGAGGGCATTGGCCGGGTGTGTAGGACAGCCTATGCAAAGGAGACAGGAGATGGAACATTGGATTGAGTAGTTGGTTAGAATCTGTTATTGCTAATTAAAACACTTTATTGTTCAAGAACGGTTGCATGATGTTCAGTTTGCTTCTTCTGCTGGAATCTAACTTCCCAAAGGGCACAGGCCACAATGGGGGCTCTTCTGAGCGGCTCCCACCCCCTCCTGCCACAGGGGCTGATGCCAGGTCAGCCACCCCCTTGCTCCTTGCTGAGTGATTAGCAAAGCTCAGGATCCCTAGGGCTATGGCTCATTGGAAAATCGTGGACTTTGCAAACACACGTGTGCAGAGTCTAATGACCCTCAGAGTCACAGGCCTCTGAGGTTCCCTTTATGAGAACTCCAGGTATGGGGGAAGAGGACATGACAGCAGGGGTGAGTAAGGGGAGTGAAAGAGAAGAAATTAAGCCATTAACCCAGCTTTCCTACATAGCTGTAAAGTACCTAAGCACCCCTGCTTGCCCTCAGCACCAAAATCAGCAAGGCAGAGCACGGAATGGAGAGCAAGCCTCCTTCTTCCTTGACTTCTCTTCCCCCCAGTGCTCCAATGACCTTCAACGGTCCTAGTGGGAGATCCCACTGTGTCCCCCACCAGTCACCCCCCACCCCGCCATGGCCAGCTTCAACCCTGCCACACTGGAAGCAGGACAGCTTCTGGTCCAAGCAGGACCCATAGCCTGGCTGCCACGGTGGAGCCCTAGCTGACAGGTGGCCCGAGAGGCAGGGTGGGGGACGCGCTATGGGACTTGGGTCTGGAAGACCCAGGCTTAACCCACCTCTGAAGCCTATTAGTTATGTGGCCGTAGGTATGCCACTTTGCATTCCTTGACCTCAGTCTCTTCATCTGTAAAACGCAGAGGCTGGAATACTGATTTCAAGATGGCCAAGTCCTGACAGCCTGCTCCGGGCTTCAGGAGGGCTGCAACGTCACAGCTCTTTTCATACTAATATTAAGACACTGCCCTTTTTTTGGGGAGGGGTCTTCAATTTTTTAAGAGTACAAAGGGGTTTTGAGAACAAGAAGTCTGAGAAGAGCTGGGACAGATGAAAGATAAGGCTCCCTTTGATACAGAGTGAGGGACTTGGGCTAGTTGACCTCGGATATTGTTCAGTCCCACGCCTGACCTTTAAGGATAACCGGGGGAAGTTGAGACAAAGGCTCTGAATGTTGTCTGAGTGGGGATCGAGCTAACTATGAGAATGGGGTCATGGACTGTCATGTCCAAGAGCCTGAAAGGAAGCCTTCGTGCAAAGGATGATGCAGGCCTGGGGGCCGATCACTCTCTTCTAGGGCTGCCAGTGACTTACTGGAGTAGAGAAGAGCAAAGCAGAATGACCTCCTGCAGGGCGCCGGTAGAGAATGCTGCGCGGACAGACGGCTGGAGCTGCAGCCACCGCCTGCGCACGTGGGACTGCCACTCCTCCACAGGCAGGTCCATGCTACCGCAGAACTGTAAAGTGAGGAGGAAACGACCACGTCAGAATGTTGCTGCTCAGTCGTGTCTGACCCCTTGTGCCCTGGCGACTGTGGCACGTCCACACTGCCCATGGAGTTTTCTTGGCAAAGACACTGGAGTGGTTTGCCATTTTCTCCTCCAGTGGATTAAGGCAAACAGAGGTTAAGTAACTTGCCCAGGGTTATAAAGCAAATAGTGAGTGTCTGAGGCTGGATCTGAACTTAGCTCTTCCTGACTCCAGGCCCACTACTCGATTCACTGAGCCAGCTAACTTACTGATACCCTTCCTCAATACCCCAAGGACACATGACTTCGGTATGCAGCTTCCCTACCCCTCTGTAGCTGTAAGGCAGCCTGGCAAAAGAGAAGGTAGCTGAATCCAGGAAGACCCAAGTTCCAATCCTGCCTCTGACACTAAGCATGTGGCCATGGACAAGTCACTTCAAGTCCTGAAGCCTCAGTTTCCTCATCTGAAAATGGGCACAACACTCCCTGTAGCACCCTGCTTCATCAGCTGTCGTGAGGTAGCAGGGCTCTAAGCACTTTAAAGCACCAGGATGTCAGTCACTATCACGACAACACCATCCTGAGCTGTTGTGGGGAACGTGTGTCACTCAGCAGCTCTCTGAGCCGAACGAGGCTGGGCCTCTGCTGACTGCTGGCCCCGCCACGCTCGATGCCCGAGAAGCCTGACTTACAGCCACACTGTGACAGGATACCAGCGTGGGTGCCTCGCGCGAGGCTTCCTGGCATGAGGTCACCTACTATGTGCCTGAGTGCACAGGGTCAGGCACAGAGTAGGTGCTTAATGAACGTTGTTGATTGGGGATCCAGAGAAAAAAGCAGAACGATCTTTGCTCTGAGAGCTTAAAGTCTACAGGGAGTGGGAGGTTAGAAAATGCAGGCAGCTTCCTGAAGACAAATACACAAAGTATTTCGAGGGGGCACTGGCCGCTGGGGGAGTTAGTGGGAAGGAGAAAGGCACAGAGGGCAGTGACAGTATGCCAGGTCAAAGGCAATTGCAAAGAGGAGAGTCTGGCTGAAATGAAGAGCCACAACTCACCCCTGCTGTCCACGGAATCACAAAACCGCAGAAGGGAAAAGTCCCTCAAACGCCAGCGGACCTAACACAAGCCTGAACAGCAATCCCCTGCACAAGGCAGCCAGTGGTCAAGCAGCCCTGCCTGCAGACTTCCATCCACTTTGGCCTGGCTCTGTCATGAGGCTTTTCTTTTTGCTGTTCAGTGGTATCTGACTGCTCACGGCCCCATTTGGGGTCTTCTTGGCAAAGATACTGGAGTGGTTCACCATTTCCTCCTCTAGCTCATTTGACTGATGAGGAAACTGAGGCAAACAGGGTGAAGTGACTTGCCCAGGGTCACACAGCTAGTCAGTGTCTGAGGCCAGTTTTGGGCTTAGGTCTTCCTGACTTCAGGCACTCTATCCATTGCACCAACTAGCTGTCTGTTCTTTTATTAAGTCTAAATGTGTATCTCTGCAACTTACATGGTTTAATTCTGCCTTCTGGGGACAAGCATTCCCATTCTAGTCTTCCACATGACAGCCCTTACAGATGTGTGAAGACAGCCACCACATCCCTCTGCAGTCTGCTCTTTTCCAGGCTAAGTCTCTCCAGTTCCTTTGATTCTTGTATGGCCTAGTTCAGGGGTGGGGAACCTGTGGCCTCGAGGCTACATGTGGCCCTCTAGGTCCTCAAGTGTGACCCTTTGACTGAATCCAAGGGGGGGAAATCCCCCTAACCCTGACTGTTCCTTCCTCATCTCTGCCTCCTAGAACCTTTCTCCTCCTTTAAGATATAGCTCAGGCACTGCTTCCTACTCGAAGTGTCTTCTGGTTCTCCCAAATGCTAATAACCCTCCCTCCTAAACTACCTTGCATCTAATTTTTACACATATATATTTATTAATTTTTATTCGTGCTATATATCTATTTAGATGTACTTATCTCTCCATTGGATTGTAAGGTCATTGTGAGAAGGGAGTGTTTTACTCAGCCAGTCAACTAACATACAGGTTGGTCCTGATTAGTCTGAACAGGGAACCCTATGAAGCGGTCCCATTATTTAAATGTGCACTGCATATTTCTACTGGGTTGGAACAACGAACATAGTTAACACAATTATATCTCTGAACAGTGCCAATACATGTGACCATTCTGCAGGACTAATTGTTCACACCAATCACAACCTAGCTATTAAGTGCCTGCTACTGGCCAGGCACTACGAACTTCTTGCAAAAGGGGCCTTCAGGGGAGCTATGTACAAGGGGTAGACGTAGCAAAAGACTAACTTGGGCTCAGGGTACAAACAAATTTCCCAGCAGTCAGAGCCCAGAGACTGGGTTGCTTTCAGGAGTACTAGGTTCCTTCTCAATGCATGGCTTCAACCTGGCAGCAAGGATGGCTTTTGAGGTATGCTGTGGAGTGGAGGTACTTAACTCACGGTCTGTGAATATGTTTTAAAAATATTTGGATGGCTGCATTGCAGCACAACTGGTTTCCTTTGTAATCCCACGTACTTTATTTATGCATTTAAAGCCAGGATTCTGAGAAGGGCTCCATAGGCCTCACCAGACGGGCTGCTGCCCAAGGGGGCCAGGACCCACTGAAGGTGAAACCCCTTGGCTGAAGAGGGGATTCCTTTCACGTACAGGTCACACTAGATGGTTGCTGGAGAACTTTTCAGCTCCCAAATTGAGGCCAACTGAGTTATGTTTCGACAGGTTCATCACCAGGATGGCAAAAGGAGGCTGAATTTTTCAGTTGTAGTAATTCTCAGACTATCTACCTACTAAGTCACTAAGGGTCTGCTGTCTCCATAAGTGGAGGAGAATAACCACATTAATGAAATCATCATCTTTGAACAACTGAAGTATCCCTAAAGTAGACCTTTGCTTTACTCCAATTGTTTGGTTCTAATATGAGCTCTTCTACTAAGCAGCTAAATGACTAAATCAGTGATTCTGGGCCCATGTTTGGATGAAATCCCTAAGACCACAATCACTCCACCCTCAAAGGAAGGTGGCTCTAACTTCTCTTTCCAAGAGACTGCCCCTCCCCAAGTCTATCACCTTTCATAGGCTGCCCCCCTCCCCCCCATACCTGCAACGCATTCCCTTATCTCTACCTCTTCTAATCCCTAGGTTCCTTCAGGGTTCAGCCAAAGGGCCTCCACCTAGATGACGCCTCTCCCCAACTCTCCTGCATTTACTTTGTACGCACTTCTATAAACAGTAACTGCTCATGAGGCCAAGGCCTTTTTGTCACTGCCAGGGGGTTTGCTGCCTGAAGTCTCTCCCCACTCCAGTCCATCCCTCATTCAGACACTAAAGCAATCTTCCTAAAACACAGGTCTGACCATGTGTCCCCCCCCCCCAACACACACACTCAGTAAATTCCACTGGCTTCCTATGACCTCTAGGAACAGATACAAAATGCTGTTTGGCATTCAGAATCCTTCCTACCCTGTCCTTCCCAGTCACCTTACACCTTACCTCACAACATACACTCTTAGATCTGGTGACATTGGCCTCCTGGCTGTTCCATAGGCATTGACTCTGGCTGTCCCCCTCGCCTAGAATGCTCTTCCTCCTCTGCTCTGACTACTAACCTCCCAGGCTTCCTTTAAGTCCCAACCAAAAGCTTCCCCCAACCCTCTTCATTCCAGCGCCTTCTCTCTTTTAATTATTTCCTATTCATCCTGTATGTAGCACGTTTGGACATAGTTGTATGGATGCTGTCTCCCCTATTAGACTGTAAGCTCCTTGAGGGCAGGGGCTGCTCTTTGGTTTCTTTTTGTATCCCCAGCGTTTGGCACAGTGCCTGACACACAGTAGGCGCTTAATAAACGTTTATCATCCATTTCCAGCACCTGGAGGGCACCTAGCTCTCAACTTAATAGATATTTGTGGAGTGACTGCCTTAGTGATTCCCTTCCCACTAAGGCTGCCCCTGAAATCCAAGTTAACACCTCTAGGACCCAGGGCTAGTAATATTAATAGTGGCCCTTTAAGGTTAAAACGCATCACACCCTGGGTTCATCTGATTCTCCCCCAAAGAGAATTAAGTTCAAAAAGGTATCTTCACCCCCACTGCAGCTAGAATGGGAAGGGGGCAGAGCTCTGGGCCTGGAGCTGTAAAGACATGAATTCAAATCCAGCCTCTGACATTTACTAGCTGTGTGACCCAGGGCAAGTCCCTGAACCGCCGCCTGCCTCAGTTTCCCCAGCTGTAAAGCGGGGATTATAACAGCACCTGCCTCCCAAGGTGGTTGTGAGGACCCAAGGAGAGCATGACTGCAAAGCGCGTAGCCCCCAGGAGGCATATAGTAGGCACTCAATAAATGCTTCCTTCCTTTCATTTTACAGCCAGGAAAACTGAGGCTAGAAGAGATTCCGCCCCGGGCTGGCTCCATCTGCTACCTCGCCGTCCGGCCCTAACCTGCTCTCACCTCGACAGGCCGGGTGCATGGGTGCGGGGACCGCGGCAGACCTCCGGGCCGGCCTCCCCGTCGCTCGTGGCTCCTCCCCGCGTGGGCCTGGCTCCGCTGGCTCGAGCCCCGCGCCGGCCGCGCTCTCCGCACCCCCACCCCGGACGCTGCGCACGCCGGCCGGACGCCGGTGGGCGAGGCTTCACGTCCTCCCCGCGCTCGGGGAGCCTTGGCCAATGGGGATGGCAGCTCGGCGCTCTGAGCCCGCCCCCACGCCGCCCGCGTCCGGAGTGCGAGAGCGACGCGCGCCACGGTCGGGCCGGGCCAATCAAGTTTGAGCGCGCGGGAGAGACACCCCCCCCCCCAACCCCGGACTCTCCCGTCTCGGCGGACGGCGCTCGAACACCCGGGACCTGAGAGAGCGGAGCCGCCGGAAGCGGGGCGGCCAGCACAGCGGGAGGCCATGAGC